GGCTGCATCCTGCATCTCTCCCGCCTTCCGTACGGAGACTTGCCGAACGGGAACGGGACAATAAAACGCAGAAAGTGGCCCCGCGACCTGTGAAGTAACACCCCGCCGCCTCCGCCGGTCGTGGTGGTAGAGTCGCCTGTTTGTTTTGATCCAACAGCCAATTTGGAGCCGCGGCCTCCGGCAGTGCCAGAAATAAGGAAAGGCGTCCCGGTTCGTCCCGGTTAGGCATCGTCAGCGCTTCCCTCCCTGCCCTTCACGCTGGCGGCCCTGGCGGGGCGGCCGTTGGAGGCCGGACTGAGTCGGACGCGCGGATTGCAGTTTCCCTCGTTTGTTCTTATAAATAGGACTGCGTGGGCGGTGCGGGTGACGGCAGTGAAGGCGCTGCAGCAGAGTGATTCCGAAAACGCTGTTTTCGTCGCTCTGTCTCTCTCGCACCCTCACGGAGCGCCCCACGAGTGCGAGAGAGAGAGACCTCCCTCTCGGAATCAGCTAGCCTGCAGCTGGCGAAAACACAACACGGCGATCCTCGTCACGCCGGAGGCGGAGGACGGCGCTGGCGCAGGGCGCAGGCTGCGCGGGCTGGCTGGCGTAAACAAACACACGTGCTTGACGTTGGGACGCGACAGGTGCACCGACCGACAGCCTGGCGCACGCTTTGACGCGGGCCTGCGGGTTCATAGTGCTGTGTCGCTCTGTCTCTCTCGCAGCCCTCCGGGGCGCCCAGTGAGTGCGAGAGAGCGATGAAAACACTGTTCGGAACCAAGCTGATGGTGCTGGTGAGGGGCCACGGTGCTGAGGGTGGGTGCGCGTGGGCGCGTGGGCGCTTGCGGTGCGGCCCCGCTGTGGAACCCGTCAACCCTCGGTGGCGTAGGGAGCGGAGGGGGTGGGCGCGGGGTGGACACGGGGCGGGCCAAGCCGAGGAGTGGGCCAAGGGGTGGGCGGCAGGGCCGAGCAGGGCGGCCACCCACCGCCATAGATCGGGGGAGGCAACCGGAGCGCGCTGTGAGTAGGCAAAACGTGCGACAGGGGTTCGGCATGGGTTCGTGAAAGGGTCTTTGCTGCGCTAGTGAGTCCACGGCCTCCACGGCGACGGCGGGCATCCCAAGCCCCAAAGGCGGGCGAAGGCGAGCGAAGGCCCTCGCTGGGCTGACTTGACTGACTTGGCTGCGGCCGTGTTCAAGGACCCGGTGTGGCCGCCTGACATGGGCCTGACATCCACGTGAGTGGATCCTGGGCTGCTTGTGCTGCCCGTGCTGCTCTGTGTGTCAGTGTCCCCTCACTCTCCCCCTCTCAGGCACCTCTCCCCTACGGAGCCGCGGGGTCCTCCCTCCCTCCCCGCGGCGCCGCGGGCAGGCGGGCGAGGGGGCCAGCGGGGCGCGGAGGGGGCGGTGGTGGGGGTCGAGTTGATATAAGGCCGGGCGGGCGGCCGCCGCCAGCCAGTTGAGCCCCGACCGAGCGTCCGCCGTCCGCTCCTCTCTGTGCCGATCGCGCCGCAGCCCGCGCCGAGTGACGCCCCTTAGTCGCGAGTAGCGCTCCGTTTGAGTGTAGTGCCCGCAGTGTGGTTGCAAACCAAGCCTTGCTCCTCTGGATACTGCCCTGCTTCGCTGCTTCTGCACAGCCTAGTTGCTCCGGTAAGTTCGCAGGGCCAAAGTGCAGGACGAGACGACGGTCTCGGACAGGCGGGCTGCAGGCACGCAGTGTCGAGTGAAAGTCTAGGCGCCCAGGGCTGCCGCTGCTGTCTCATTCCAAACAGCGCCTCGTCGCACTGTCTCTCTTGCTCTTGTGGAATGCCGCATGTGTACGAGAGAGACAGAGCAACGGCCCTCAGGCCGCAGGCTGGGCCCAGCTGTTTGTGTGGACGCACTGTGTGCTGTCAATGTGGCGCGCCGGTGTCGCGGCCGTCGTGGGTACGTCGGGACGAGTCACTTGGCACTCGACGGGAACATCAGAGCCTTGGCCACGCCTTGGCATGGCGGGGGTCTGTCGGCCCTCAGGGTTGCCCAGCGGGGTGTGAGCCGCGTCCTAGAAAGCCGGAGTATGGTCGGTGAAAACCCTGGCCTGGCAGGAGTGCACAATTGGCAGTACGACAGGCGAAGTTCAGAAGAGGTTCGACTTCTCACTTGGTTCGTGTTCGGAAGGGTTGGAACGCCACAGCAGGTGCCGTTAGCGAGCAGCTGTCCTGGGCCTGGCCTGGTTGGGCCGTGGGCCCGAGTGGGCCGCCCCCCGCCCACGCTGCAGCCCTCGCCGTGCTGCGGGACGGGGGCGGGCGGCGGGGCGTCTTGCTGTTGTTGTTGCTTCACCTTTGCCGTGGCTGCTGCTTCAATAATGCGACCTGGCCGGCCGGGGCGGCCGGGGCGGCCGGGGCGGCAGGGCCGTGCGCCCGCCAGTGTCCACGTGAACCAGCAGTGGCCGCCCCTTTGACGCGGACGCGCGCCCACGCGGTCGCCGGGCCGCCGATTCGTCCATCTGTCTCCCTCGCACTCACTACGGAACGCCCCGTGAGAGCGAGGGCGACGGAGCGACACAGGTGACGGCTGTGACGGCGGGGAACGCCCAAAAGCCCCAAAGGGCACGCCCCCGCCGACATCGCGACACTCGCCCTGCCCGCTCCTCTTATCCATTCCATGCCATTATCGCCCCGGTGGGCGTCGCTTGACGTTTGGCGCAATTGGCGTGGCGGTCACGTCGCGCTGCGCGTAGCAACGCCGCAACGCCGCGATAGCGTCTGCCTGTCCACTCCGTGCCACTCCGTGGACGGCCGGCCGCGGCGTGCCTCGGCCTCGCCTCGGGCCTCGGCGTCGCTTTGGCCAAACAGAGATAGCAGCGCCGCGTCGCGCGCGGGGAATCGGAGAAACTCGACTGCTGGGACTTCCCCGTGCGAAAGGAAAGGAAGCTGACGCGGTTTGGCGAAACGGCAAGTCAAGTCGCGAATCGCAAGTCATTCATTTCCCCTCCCCAGCAGCCTTCTGGCCGCCTGCCGGTCCTGGCGGGGCCGCGTGGCGCGGCGCGGCTAGTGGGCTGGGAGGCTGAGCGGGGCCGGACTGGACCCTGGACTCTGCACTCACGTGCTGGTGTTTACAAACAGCCTGGAACGTTCAGAAGGACACTTTCACTCCGGCGGCTCGCGGCTCCAGCGGCTCGCGGCTCCAGCGGCGCGCTGTCTGGAGGCTGGCTGGAGGCTGTCTGGATCACCTCGGTCGCCACGCGCCGGCCCGGCCAGACGCAGGTTTCTCCTTTGAGCTCAGTGGGACAAGTGGGACACGCTGCAAATTTGGCCGCACTGTCGTGGACCCTTGGATCTAGTCCAGTCGCACCGCGCCGTACCGCGCCGCACTTGTGTGGTGCGGTTGCATGCGGGAATGAGGTTGCAGCCGCTGCAACGCGCCCCGACTGCGTTCTGCGCAGTGCGGCGCAGTGCGGCGCTCTCCCTTCTCCGCCTGCTCCGCCTGCTCGTGGCCACGAAGGCCGTCAGCGTCAAGGTGCGCGAGGCAGTGCGTCGCAAACCGAGCCGCGCGCGATAGGCGGCCCACATGCAGTTGGCTTGCGAGTAAGCCGGGGCAACAGTGTCCACGACCACAAACCGGGTTGAGCCTCGCGTTGGCCGTCTTGCACAGTCTCCGCTCCGCGACCTCCTCCACCGCGCTTGTCTTTCTTGTTGTTGCGCAACGATGAGGATGGTCCCCCGAGTGCGTCGCTCTGAAACGCACCTTCCCCCCCCCCTTTTCCCCGCGATGCGTCGCGTCGCAAGGACACGGCGCCGCTAGTGCTGTCAAGCAGTGGGAATCTCTGTTTGAACTGGGCGCCGCGGTCTGTACGGCAAGACCAAGGCTTTCGTTGAGAGTTTTCGGCCGTGCGAGAGAGACAGCGACCAAACAAATCTTCGGAATCGCCCGGGTAGTTGACGTTGCGACCATGCGACCGCCAGCTGGGTCTTGCGGGCGGTAACGCGTAACAACGCTGATGGCGTGAGAGAAGGGCCATGTCGCCCTGGTGGCACGGCGTGGCACGGCGTGGCACGGCGTGGCAGGGCAGGGCACGATGTGTGCGTCGCAGGGCTTGGGCTGATCGATAAGTAGGTGTGTGTGGCGCCGGTGCCGGTCGGCGCCAGCCCGCCCTGTGTCCTCCCCTTTTTCGGACGGGTATTACCGGCCGAGGCTCGCATCAGTATCCCCGCCAAGATGCACGCGTGTCCCACGCGTGTCCCCATAGAGCCTAGACGTTAGTGGGTTGGTGAGGCCGTGAGGAGCCATGAGGCCACCCTGCCGGAGTGCCGCGAGTGGCGCCCTGGCTGGCGCGGTGTAGCGCGTTGGTGGTTGAACAACCCGGTTACGACTCGACATCGCGCCAGCAAAATGCGAATGGTCGGTCGTCGTCGGTCGACTCGACTCCCCGCCAACCCGTCCCACGTCCCGCCGAACCGAACCCATGAGGAACCCCCACCCTTCGCTCTCGTCCTCGTCCTCCCGTCCCGACGCTTAGGGTCGACGCCACCGCCGTCGCGCCACGCCCCGCCACGCCCCGCCACGCCCCGCCACGCCACGCCTCGACCGGGATGCAGTGCTGGGGCTGGGGCTGGGGGTGGGAAGGCCAGGGGGTTGAGGTGAAGGGCCGGACTGGCGGGAGCAGGGAGCAGGGCGAGGGGAGGCAGGGGCAGGCGGTAACGGCGGCGGCGGGCGTGGTCGTTGCCTGGTCCTGTGAGTGCTCAGTGCTCCGCCTGACCCGAGAGTCCTGCCTCCCGGTCCCGCCTCCCAGTCCCTGTCCCATTGGCGTTTCTCTAGATCTGGTGTGTTGCCATTTAGTCAGCTAGATGTGCCAAATTGCATCTTTGCTAGTCTTACATTGCCTATTGACCAAAAATCCTCAATAAGACAAATGAAACAAAACTTGCAGAACCGTACCTTCAATCTATTTTGTTTGGGCACTATTGTGTAAGTCGCAGGTGTGTGGAGAAAGATCTCTTCAATCTTTTAATTGTTATGTTTGTTTTCTTTTGGTTGCAGTGTCATCTCCAATGTCAATTGCAAGAGTCGAGACGATGAGGATGCTGAACAAGAGCCAGAGCTTGAGCCTAAGCAGCATCAGCTCCCTTGATGATGCCCACATTTCATTCTCTGTCGCAAATTCTGCAAATTCCACGGCATCTGCTCAGGAGCCTGTGGTTTCCATTGAAGAATTACGTCTCCAGCTAAACTCATGTTTTACGTAAGTGTTTTTATGGTTTAGGTTCTTTTATCGTGTAAGTCATGACTTGGTACTGATGCGACTTTTCTGACTACAGATGTGGTGTCAGCTGGCATGAGGATCATGTTTCCTTGGACTGCCAAGAATGTGGAGGATATTCTTTGGAGAGACCATGCCCTTGCTGTGATGGACGTTGCAAGAGTACCTGGAAACGTGATTTAACTATGGTAAGTTATGGCTTTCATTTCAAACCCTTTGGTTGTGTGTTTTTTTTTTGTCCAGCCCATAATGATTTGCTCTTTTTATTTTGTTTTAGTCACATGCCTCTGGCAAAGCTAGGTGGGAAGGCAAGTGTCTCCTCTCCACGTCCACCCAAATGCTGAAGACGCTGGTTACAGAAGACGAGTCACATCTCTGCTCCAGATTGGAGAAACTTACTGCTAGCTCATGACAACCTGTAGTCTTTGCTAAAAATTAGACTGAGTGTGTATGTAACGATTGATTGTGTGTATGATTGTGATTGAGTGTGTTTTGTTTACATGAGTGTCTGTGTGGTGTGTGTGTGTGTGTGTGTGTGTGTGTGAGAGAGAGTGTGAGTGTGTGTGTGTGTGTAGTGTAGTATAATTGGGTTAATCAGAAGAAATAAGTAGAGTAAGCAAAACATACAGAGGGTATTATACGAGGCTTGTGCTTGTGCTTTAATGTTCAAATCATGTAAATCAAATCTAAACTAAAGAATTGATTTAAAAAAATTATTTGTATGAAGACTGCATCTTACTTGCTCTTGTGCTGCAAACTTAAGTTTACTTTACTTTACCAAAAGTAATTGTTTATCAGGGTATTATCACTCATAATTAATCAACATGAGCGTTCCATGTCACTCAGTTTTAAATGTAACTCATGGAGAAGAAACTGATTGGACAGGTTTGGCTACATGTTGTATGGAAGTATTGATTGCAATTTCTGCACTTCATGTTAAATTTGTGTTGGGTTAGTGTTTCAATACTGGAGTCCTACTTTCAATTGCATGAATTACCTCCTTATTACAGAAATCAACCTCCTAATTGTGCCCCTCTGTATGTTTTCTTTAATTAGCTATTGTTGTGGAAGAAATGTGAACTAATGAAGCCCTGGTAGAAATTTCATACTTTATTCCAGTAGCTTTCAAAGTCACCTCCCCACCATTTAAAATAAAAGAATAGAATATGAAACAAAAGATCCTTCAAATTTAGTAGAGATAGTGTTACAATGTATGTTCAAGTGTACCTGTGTTCAAAGTAGTGGGGAGGAATCTGAGAACTTGATTTTAGGATCTAATAATTTATTACTTTTAATTGTCACCGTTAGATATTGGTACATAATTTTGTTAAGATAAAGACATCATTACATTCTTACTGTGACTTTCAATAAATGTGTAGACTAAAAGAACAGTCCAGGATGTGGATTGGCTGAAATCTTTGCTGCTCACAAATAATGAAAGTTTGAAGTTGTATCATTATCATTCAACTAAGGTGTGCTACTTAACTGTACTTAAAAGTCATTATGTGTGATTGCTGTTAGTCAGCTGACTATAAATATTGTGATAAAAATTGGAGGAAAAGTTACCTCTTTTGTTGTTTGTATTTAAGGAATCCACATTAAATTTCCATCATAGATTCCAAATAATTCTCCTGACAACACCTCAAGAATTTGTGAGTCACTCAAACTGACTAATATATTTGTCTTGTAGCATAATTTTCTTTTTTAAATAATAATAAAACATTGATTATGCAATGAAATTAATTAATCAACTACCCTCTGCCTTATTTTCTCACAACTACTCAATTTATCTTTTAACTCAGTCTCGATGCAATAGCATCATAGACAATCAACTTTATGTTGTTGTGATACCCAACGACAGACTTGGACGAAGTGAAAGAATGCTCAGAATGTCCTGCATGTAAAAAGAAATTAAAATAGCAGCGCCGTAGGCAACACGGTCACTGTGGTGTCGAATGGGTTGCCTAATCTGCCGGGCGTGTACGGCAACAGATATTCCGAATTCCGACCGCTGCGCTGCTAGATTTGTCATACCTTGGCATCAGGTAGTGTGTGACACCACTGGTGTCGAGCAGAGTTATCTAGCGGCGGAGCGTCGAAGCTAGGGTCTGAGCAGTGTCGGGTTCAAAGACAAACAAAGCTGTGGCCGCGTCTATTTTCCTGCTGGCTTTCAGTGAATGTAAAATGTTGCTTCGGAGCTTTATTGATTCCCTAAGTAAACAGATTTCATGGAAGAGGTAAGGATCTGCATTTAGTATTAAATGGTTCTAATGCGCAAACCCTATTACATAAGGAGGTTATGTGTTTCTTCCGAACACGGATGAAGGGTCGTTGTTTACTAACGACGGTCGATGTAATGTAAGCTTGTCAGCCATGGGCAATTACAGTTTAGGATTTCTTGTATCTTGTAAGCGACAGTCGCTACGAGCTTATGTGGATAGCCGTTTTCCACAGGAGAACGGGTGTCAACTCGAATCCGCAACCGTCGGTTTCGTCGGGACCATAATCGCCCTCTGTCCTCTGAACTGCTATTTGTGGCTTCTTGAACCAACGCTTTTGAATCTCTTGTATTTTTTTTGCAGGCCTTACTTTGTGAGTAATGCTCAAACAACAGGATACTCAACTGACCGTTCTTTACCACCTAAACCTAAACGCTGTAAAAATCCATGGGTATTCTATTTTATGGAAAATATTTCCAAAGCGAAAGCAGATAACCCAGGGACCTCTTCTCCAAGTTCGTGCTTTATTAATATGAACTTAAGCACTGTTGAGTCAATGCACGTTCCTTTGTGTGCTCTTTTGGGAGATTTTTAAAGCATTTAATTTGTGTATCTCTATACCTTTCAGAATTATTCCAGCTGCTCTCTGCTAAATGGCAAAGTCTTGGTGAAGAAGCTCAAAAGAAATATTTGAAGCTTGCTGAGGCTGATAAAAATAGGTATATGGAAGAGATTCAAGTCTACAGAGCTAACCTTACTCCTGAAAAAGCGTCAGCGATAGCCGAAGAGAAAGCAAGAGCTAAGTTGCAGAAAGAACAGATTACTGAAAAAAAGGTTTGTTTCCCCACTCATTTTACTGTTAGACCCACATTCACAAAATCTTTTAACAACAGAGTCCACTGTATCAAACTTCTCAGCTAGTCTATTATTTTCCTCATGATTCTCCATTAAAATAAATACTTGGATGTATTGAAATTCTTTTGTGATAATCTCTTCATTGCTATATGTGGGTTACAACAATCAATTGTATTTTAAATCTTGGATCTACAGAAACTTAAAGCCTTAGGATTACCAAAGAAGCCCCCAAATGCTTACATACTTTTCTCCTCAGACTTTATGAAAAGGAAGTTTTCACAAGTTGAGGAAGGGGGCAAATTCGCTGTGAAGAATCAGGTAATTTTATTCATGATAATTTTCTACTTATTTCCCAGAATATTTTCTTCTTACACTTCACTCTGTTCTATTAGGCATCCGCAGTGGGTGAGGCTTGGTCAAAACTTTCTGCAAATGAGAAAGCAAAATGGGAAGAACTTGCTGCTGTTAAGGCAAAAGAAGCCAAGAAGAAGGTTGAAGAGTGGGAATCAGATATGGCGGCCAAAGGATTTTTGGAAATTGTTGATAACAAAAAAACCTAGCAGTGTTGTGTTTTTTCTCAGGGTCAGTGCTGATGTTTAAATATTTGATCAGAAAATCTGATCATCTTTCAGTCTCATGTGAAGTGTTCAGTGTTCAGCTGAATAAAAGTGCAGGGATTACTTTTCTTTAGTTCCTTTTAGTCAATTACCTTGTATCATTTTTTGATTGGTTTTTTGTTCCTGTTTTGTACTGTACTATGACACAAGGACTGCTGTTGTCAAAGTCTGATAACATGGAAACTCACCCTAAGTTATGTAAACTCATACACAAGGAACTATCTTGTTGATTTTAGTATACAATTTATCATGCAAGTCATTTATAAATTCACAGGAACAATTCAGGTGTTTGTATGGTAACTCACCAGGATTTTTGGTTCTGTTCCTTTCAAGGACTGTAAGTAGGCAACTAAACCCCAATTCAGTAAATTGTCATTGTGTTTTCTGTATTGTGATCAAGTTCATCAATTTCATCAGAATGCTTGTTAACAGTAAAATTTAAACATTTTTAAGGAATTAATGCACAAACAGACTTTTACATCTTTGGTATAAGTTGACAGACATCATGAGTACTCAATAAAATTTCTGTGAAACCCCAAGAAATAATGTTTGTTTTTCTCTTCTCGTGTGGAAACTCCCTTCACTAGCTCTAGAGAGCCTCAGAGGTTTGACACATGACTCCCAGGCGTGGTAACGTTCTGATGTCTCATTTGGCACATCTGTCCTGTCATAGGGCAAACGGTTGGCCTACCTTACCGGCAGGGTGTGACGCGGGCGAGAAAAAAAATAAAAAGACGGCGCGGCGAAGACTAAACTGGTTGCCTACCTTTTAGGCGCATGCTCAAATAATTCCATTTTTTGACAGAAAAATACTATTAAGGGCCGAAATGGTGTCAGGCGTCGTTAAGTGGTGCTCCAATACAGCATACTAAATTTTGGGCCATTTTAAATTTTCAGCCAAAACATGAAAAAACCATGGCGCTTAACCTAACCTTTTTTTGACAAAATTGGTCAACTACCTCCAATTTGTCGAAGTCGTATGGAACATTGCTAGGGGTCTAGGAAACAGGTGCCCGGTGCCCAATGGAATATGCGTTGTTTTAGTCTTATGGCTCAGTATATTACCACGCCCGAGAGTCGAACCTTGATTCTCCTTTAGGCCGTCACCACCTCAGCACTCTGAGCCAAAGACTCACTCTTCTCAGTCTCTCTCTAACTTTTCCTGCATCGAGTGATGCATGAGGCAGGTGCAATGAGATAGGGAGGATGAAGTTCCAGGTTATATAAAAAATCCAAGACAGTCATGAAGAATGAATGTTTCAATTTTATTGAATCAATAGTCTATTGCAAAATATACATAGGTATAATGACAATAGCCCAGCCAATGTGAGTAAAATGAGACAAAAAGATGGTAGCTTCAAGCTCCATAAGAGAAACACTGGTGGGTTTGGCTTTTCTTTCCTGGCAGGGTGATGCAATGGGATGATATAATGAGGGGAAGCATGTGGGTAGACAGACTTCGGCCCATCCGCACAATCAGCTTCGAGATCTTCAGTCACTAATTTTACGCAGTCAAGTATAACGTCTTAATGAAATTATCAGGTGAAAAAATAATACATCAGACATGCTTCTTAAAATTCTCAACATGCGGCTTTCACACTTGGATCCGCTCCAAGAACACATAACACAGAATAATATTTTAATCAGATGATTTAATTAATAATAACTAAGAACACAAAAATAACACGCCCACTTCATTCAATTTTTCACGCAATACAGAGGTACTAGCTTACAAGAAAAATCTGAATGGAAAACCAATTTTGATTTTGCATTCTTAGGACTAGTAAAGCCTTGTTTGTCAAGTCTAGTCTATGCTAATTCTAGGTGGTCATGTGAACTAAAATTTAAAAACCGAAGAACGGACTATGATGAAGTTTGTGGCATTGCAAGAATACTTGGCAGACATGAGAATGACTTCTGCTGGTTAAGTGGTTCTCAAAGGAGGTAAATGCATAGTTCCAACAGACAGTCACACAAGGTCGGATTGTTTGACAAGGCTTTACTTGGCAAAACAAGAACACAAAGCAATCCTCCCAATAGAGTTCATCCTGATTGCACTTGGCTTTCTGGGTACTGCATTCACTGTTCATTTCATCAGGTAGACAGTTCCAAAACACTGAGAATGAGAACACTTGACATGTAAGGCTTACATCCGTCTATAGGGGTGGAAACTCTGGGTTTGAGTAGGGGCATTGTAGTTGCCTCCTCGTTGAGGGCCAGGCCCAGCCGTGTAGCCTCCTGATGCTCCCTGCCCGTCACCCTGACCTGTTGCACACGCATCACACACAAAATTTGTAGCAGCCGTTTGGCCTGGTTGTAAAATGTAAAACAAATATAGCAAGTTGACATGAATGAACTTGAGCAGATGTCCACATCAATGCATTAAGAATGCTATTAAGAAATTTTACAGAAGTGCCATTAATGCTAAAAGTTAAATATTGTAAAAAGAAGAGAAACCAGGCCAACCCACTGACAGCTGGAATCTAGATAAGATTCGATGCATTATTTGAAGGAAATCAAATTGTGTAAGCAACAGTTTAACCAAAGCCAAATATAGGTATAAGAATTGTTTGTTTGTTTTTGCTATTTTTGTCTTTTTATTCCTGTTTTCCAAAAAAATACAAATGTCTGTTATAGCAACACCAGCATGCATTACATTCAAGACACTTTCACCAGTACTACTCATGATATATTAATTGAGGGGGAGAGCAAGAAGAGATAAGCATGCACTTTTTCCCACTTTCAGCCAAGTTGACAAAGAAAGATACAATTTTCAAGTTCATTCATGCAGCGCAAGAGGAAAAAGGCACAGAATTTAGTAATTCCATTCTAATAGTCCATTAAAATTAAACATTTATGAGAACTTACTGCTGACAAGAACTCTGATGTTTGGAGAGCATTTCCGTGAGTTAGCTTGAGGACAAAAGAAGCAGGAACAAAGGTTAGCAGGAATGGCTTGTAAATGCAGCACTGTGTCACGACACAAAAGGCTCTCTCCCAAACATTTGGTTCTGATCCTATCTCTGAATTCTGACCATGCAATGTCCACACTTGATGGATGGAGAAGCTCATCCTATCATGTATGTGAGCACGTCTCCAGACAAAAATATAAGAATTCACCCGCATGAAGCAGAAGGAAGAGGCAGAGAAAGAGAGATAGTAGTCTTTTAGCTTGTATTTAAATGGTAGGTGACTTTTTTTTCCACATGCTGTTATGTGTGGCCATGGTAAAGGGAGTGAAAGCCAGGTGGTTTTGATTAAGTCAAAGTTCGCCTCCAGCTAACTTCAGTGTATCCTAGCCTTGATGACCTATCCTACTTGCTCTCAGTAAATTTTGTTCAATCATGTGCAGATAAAGACTGGTTTGTTAGGCAGGTAATCAGTTTATCGCTGAGGTTAGAGAAAAACAACGTTTAACCTCCTCAATCAACTACTAACACGCAATTGCTACTGGTGTTGCACTAATTCAAATTAACGAGCAGGGTTTACGAAAAACCAAACAATTAATTAGTTCTGGGACAATTTTATGTTATGAGCAGCCTTACTTACGCCTTCAAAGAATTTTGGTGCCTGCAGTACTTGAAAAACTGCCTTTCCATTGGAATGCTTGTGAACAGAAATGCAGTTCCCCCATATTAGAATTTAAGTTTAAACAGAGGTAGCTTTATGGTACCAAAACTTAGACTTAAGTGACTGAGAGTTATCTTTGAAACACCACCATGTCTTATAACTAAACAAATTTGAATAAATTTTAGTTTAACAGAACAAGGTTCGTTCATGATTTTCTTAACTTAGGGCCCTTGTAAGTGTGAATGAAACAGTCAAATTTATGTGCATGTCTTACTTCCTTAAAAAAAAAATTGACAATCAGCATCATTGAAGTCATGATAAAATTGATGTGCTCAGATGGATAACTAATCTGTCCACAACAAATAATGATAAGCCAACCCCATAATTTTGTTTTGATCCAGTTTAAACATCTACCTGCCTGCGTAGAGGGCACTCAAATGCAAAACCACCATAAAACGCAATGCAAAAATCAAATGCTGTATGAGAAATGGAAATGCCTGAGGAGGTAAAGAAAACCTGAACTTAAATTCAGAACAGTAAAATGGTTCATGTACGTTAATTTCAACAATACTGATAAAACAGTGTGCAGTTCCAGATTCCACCCTCTTATGAATTAACAAATTTCTTTTGCAGTAACCTATGATAAATTAGATATAAAGCACACCCCATTGCATCAAATAAAACTAATGATAATTACAACTAATTATCACAGGTTTCCTTTCGAATTTAGACTAATGAGCACAATGTTCTATACAGCTATGGTAAAACTTGACATATTGTTTGTAGCCTACACTGCAGATGTATAACTATGTAACTTAAATTGTAGTTTTGGTCAAACGTTCTGAGCTTGAACTGTACAATATTAAGGCGTTCTTATAATATCCTTAGTCAAATACAGATAATGCAAGTACCTTACAGTCTTCGGCTAGACATACCACATGCTTATTTCTGTGACAAATAACTGATGAGCTGCACTTGTCAGCTCATTTAACCAGAAAATTGGAACAAGTCATTCTTGTTTTTTTTTCCAAGTTTTTTTTTTTCATCTAATGGATAATATTGCTTTATACCATTTATCTACAACACTGAATGAAAAGTTGTGTACGTCTACACCTCTAATGTTAATAGACATAATGGACTTTAGAGCGTACATGGATCAATGATTAATATTGAAACCCTACAAAACACCCAAATAAACTGTCACTGCTCTCCTTAGATAGTACATAAGGGTTGCTCCACTTCTACTGCCTATATTTTCACTTTAAAAAGACACTCAACAAAATCTCAGCTAAAGCAGAATGTTACCTTGACAAAATGTGTTAAGAGTATATCACAATTTTTAAGATGTGGAAAGCTAAACATAGATTCATAGATATATGATTTTACATACGAATAGAAAGTGTATGTGTGTAGATTTAAATATAATAAAAGAGAAGGGCTGAGAGCCCTGAAGATAAGAATACAGAGATAGCTGATGCAAATCTAATTAAGCCCAAATCCCTAACGATCTTAGAAGTAGGAAATGCCAGATCTAATTGGCACAATTGCCTCTCTCATTGATAAATATACTTTAAAAATTGGTTTTAAGACTTAATATTGGAATAAAAATTGATGAGTGGCAAATCATGAACACTGAATGCAAGTAATTGAGACGTAAAATCATGCTTTTCTTGCTGCAACCATCAAGGCTGAAGCCACAATTGCAATTTGTCAGCAACCAATGATTGGCCAGAGAGGCATTCTGTATGTGTGACCAGTGCTGTTCATTAACCTGCGAAGTCAACTTCCCAGATCACAGATTAGTACCATCTATCTAGATTTAATTTTAATAGTCATCCTATAACAACATTATATTAAGTTGTATTATTAATATCACTGGATTTTAATTAAATGAACTTCGCAGGTTATGGTGCTGCACTTCTGTACTTGGTAAATTAACTTCTATATCTTAACCAATTGATGCACTGAGCACTTCACAGCAATAATATTTAAAGTCACTAAGTGTCAATAGATATCGAGTAATGGAGCTTCACTGAAGTGACAGTGTAAAATGTTTTTAAAAAAACAACACACAAATTGGAAAGGCCCTTCAAAAGTTAAAGAAACCACAAGGGGGAAAAACTTATTAAAGCACTTCATGAGTCATCTATGTTGCAGCAAAGTAATGAAAAAAACAAACAAAAAAACATTTAAACATTTAAGGGCTCTGACCAGTATTTGTGCATATTATAACAGTAGTTCATACCAACAGTGCAAGTACACCTAAGGCCCCCTAGAACAAAGTATGCGGCTACCACTACCCATTTGCTGAAAAAAGGACATCATCACCACCACACATGAAGAGCCAGACACACGTATAGAATATATGTTGAATATAGATATATATGTAAATATATAAAGGTAAATATTAAATAAGACATGAAAAGTAACTGAAGTCAGCGCTACTCCGCACGACTAGAGTACAGGATAAATGATGCAATTCAAGCTGTGAGAGAAGCAAATAACTTAAGACACCTGTATACATTAGTTTTAACTTTAGTCACTTCAACTTGTCCTTGTAACTTAAATAGGGGGCCTAAGTTAGTACAAGCATTACCAGAGTGGTACTTCGACCATACCACAAGATGTAGTATTCATGTTTATTGGGGATGGTGATTGAAGGCAAAAAATAGTCTCGAAGTCTGATGCACAGAAACCTCTTTACTTCAAGCTCTAAAAAGTACAACATTAGATCTAAAGGAAACTTTTCATAGCAAGAAATTCCTACCTTGCTAATTTTGCTAATGAATTATGTATATGTACGTATGTACTATATCAACCTTAAAATGACTGACTGTAATTGGTATTATGCTATTATCCTGACTTACTATTAGGATCTATCAAAATTTGTACAAAGTTGACACAATTATTATCACTGCCGCATGGTTCTAATCATAGCAGACTTTTCATTTTTAACAAGAACAAATTAAAATCTGCTTAATGCTCCCAATGAGGCATTACTTAACACTACACAAATAAAATCGCTGTTTTTCCATACAAGTGACCACATAGTATAATAAAAGGACAAGTCAAAGTAACCAATCAGTTAAAACTAATAATTCAAGTCTTAAAATCTTAAAATTTCCTATGATCTGTATTTACATCAGTTCAAAAAATCCATCCAAGCTAAAATGTAAAGTTTCTTAATTAGATAGGTACAGTTGTACATAAATTTCTCATTATAGTTCATCTGAGCATGAATGAAACATGATTTTTTTTGCTTTTACTATTTTAACAACCCTCACCCTTGGGCACTGCCAATCTGACCCATTCTCCAAAACTAAAACAAGAAACCGCTATGGTATTCAATACTGTTACAAACAAAACAAACTTATGGTTCCTTGCACCTAAAATTGTAAAGCTCATATTTTACATATATGCAAGTGCTGTTAAAAAGCAGGTTGACAATTCATTTATAAGGTTCTATAAAATGGCAATGAGAAATATATATATGAAAATAATATTTTCAACAAAATAAAATAAAAACAATTAAAACGAGCTACTGTCTGGCAGGCAGTCAGCGAGCTAGTGCCCAGGGCCTACGGGCACTGCTGGTCTTCAGGGTGGTCATGACGAAGGCCACTCTTTAAAGTCAAACTGTTTCCCACCTGGGACGGGTGGGTGGCTCGAACCATAGCCGCCCCCACTAGAGTTGGATCCCGCATCAGCACCATAGCCCCTGTTGGCGCCGTAACTGGTTGAGTCCTGCAACACGCAGCATTCACACATGACATCAAAAGATGAACAACGAACAGACAAATGCTACATACAAATGCTTTGTACCTACATACATACAACAATATTTTATTTAAATCAAACATCAAGCAAGGTTAAAGCCCCTACTATTGTCAGAAAAAAAAGGAAAATTACATAGAAGCTAGATGTAGGTCAGAGGCAATAAATGTGTCAAAAAGCAATACTGAGAACAGTAGAACAGAAACTTCAAAACACAGAACAATTAAAATAGCTTGTACTGACATGCACATGGTAAGAGTGCTTACCAACTGAAGAACCATCCTATTTAGCTGGAGTTCCACAAACAAGAGTCCATTATCATAAAGGGAATAGAAAGCATTTTCTTAAGCTTTAAAATAAGCTAAGCTATAGATAGAATTGCATTCAACTACATTACAATGAAATGCCACTTTCTCCCATAAGGAATTGGCAGTAGTATTCAATGTAGAGCACACAAAGGACTGTGACTTAACCTTCTCTACCCAAGCCACACCAATACAAAATGGGAAATGGGAAACTAATAGTTCACCCACATAACTATCTTAACACAGAAGAATATTTTTCAAAGAACTTACCGCTCCGTATCCACCACTTCCATAACCATAGCTAGCAGCATAGTCTGCACCAGCCTTCTGTGCACCACCAGCACCAGGAGCCGCAGGTCCAGGGCCAGAGGGTGTTGCGGCCCCAGCACCAGTGCCTCTGGAGTACATGTCAGCTTGGGGACCTGCTCCGGAAGGACCCTGAGGAGCACCGCCAGCCGGAGGGCCATTCTGTGCCATGTTCCAGTTCCAGTTCTGTCCGTAGCCCGACTGAGGTGCGCCTTGAGGTCCTACCACACAAGAAAAGGTGAGACCTGGCAATTGCCAGAACAAGGTTTACAAATGACTGAAGCATACCATAGGAGCTGTATCCCTGTTGCTGCGGTGGACCGCCGTAATTGGAACCCCACTGCGGAGCCATCCCTTGTCCTTGAGGTCCGGCAGGAGCGCCCCATCCCTGATATCCAGCTGGGCCTGATGGAGTACCATAGCCTGCTGAGAATGTAAACGATACCATTCATCCAAGCACTGATCTTTTCGAACAGTCATGTTTGCGAGTTTGGAAATTGAAGCCATTTCCATCTCTCTCGGTTCATGCACAATATCCTACCATTCACAGGGGGCTGGTTGGAGGTTGGGCCCCATTGGCCAGGATAGCCCTGAGCCTGTGTGTTGCCCCAGCCTTGGTATCCTTGCATCATGTTGGGGCCACCCATGGGTCCCATAGGGCCACTCATGGGGCCTCCCATTTGTCCATTAGGTCCTCCCATTCCCATGCCCTGAAACAGAACATATTTAATGTCAGCAACAGCCAAATTACAACAAATCGCACAATCTACTTGATTTGATATCAACTTACACCGCCGCCCATGCCCATCTGAGGACCTCCTTGAGGAGGACCCCAGGAGTTGTCACCGCCCATTTTATTTGATGAATCTCTGGGTTCTGCCTTTTTAATCTCAACCTATACAAGAAATACAGATACAAATTCACATTTTGTGCGCAAAATACGTTGGAAATGAATTGTGTAGTGACAGAAATATAAATTGGGATACCACAGCCACCCACCCAGTTTAACGGCTTACCTGTTTTCCATTCAAGTTAACAAAGTGCTCTGATACACAACGGTCAACAGCATCATCATCCTCAAAGGAGAGGAAACCAAATCCTGCACAAATAAATTAAAAATCAGGCAAACAGACTTTGAGAATTAAGGGATACATAAAAAGATCAAAACCCACCCCTAGACTTTTTCTTTTCTTGATCATACATAATCACAACCTCCTGAACCTTGCCAAATCGCGTAAAGAAGGATCTTAAATCTGTTTCTGTCACATTTGAAGGCAAGCCTCCCAAAAACACCTTGGGGTAACTGCTGGCTCGTTTTGGTTTCTGAAGTGTCCTGGGATTGCATGGCTTAGGGTCAATCTGTAAATAAAAAGGGGGCAATGAATGACAAATGTAAGGATAAGAAAATTAATTAAAGTGAATACAAAGTTAAACAATATACTACATACCGTTCTACCATCTAGTTGATGAGGTCCACTCTGCAACACTATTGTTACATTGGCTGGGTCAGAGAAAGTTACAAATCCAAATCCTCGGGATCGGCCTGATTCACTATTTTTCATAACCACACAGTCAATGACCTCCCCATAGCGGGCAAAATATCTTTGCAACGCTTCTGTAAACGAAATTCCAAATTATGAGACAAATAGTGACATGCACCTGGTAAAAATGAAGGCAATAATGCATTACCTTGTGTGGTTTCCCAGCTAAGACCTCCAACAAACAGTTTGCTGAAATAAGAGAAATTTAATGTTAAAAGACAAAGAAGAACGAACAAATGCACAGGCCCCGAGAATACTGCTGTCAGTCAAAGCCATATCTTTGCGATATTAGGATGCTTGAACTACGTTACAGCACCCAGTAGCATACTGGGCAGAAATTAACAAAATTTTCATGATAGGATGAAAAAGATTAGTTGAACCTGGAAGAAAATTAAGAAAATGCAAAAAGCATTTTCACAGGCCTAACTAAGCAGTGGATCATGACAAGAGATGCTACTTTGCTGGAGCTTATGCCACCTAAGGTGCCTACAGCTGGTTCTAGCCCATAAATGGCTACTGAAGAAAAAAGCTTAAGGAAAATTGCTTTCTCACTAAACTAGCTCATGAGAGCAGCAAAGTTAATCTAGGACAATATGCAAATTCTGTTAGAAGGTTGCTGAATCTTGGAAATATTTTAGACTTAAACATTGAGACCAAGCCAAAGATGCCAAGTTGAAATACTGAATCATGTTCAGTGTGACCATCTCCCTTGGCATAGGAAAGAATAGAATAAAAAAATAAAATAAATGAAAGCAGGCAACTACTGGGAGAGAAATAATCAGCAACCCGAGTTAAAAGCAAACTGTAGACGGGTTTACTAACTCGCTTGCATTGGAGCTGTTCCATCCGCTTCGGTCCTTTTCTGCTCTCATCCTAGACAAGAGAGAAACATATCAAGAACTACTGTACCCACACATTAGGGTAAGTTGATGTCTCCCATGACAGCTAAGTAGAATGTAAAGGGAGCAACTGAGATAGGGAAAGAACCAGCAGGGCTACCTCGACATGAATAAATGCTTAAAATGCATCACTAAATCAGATCAGTACAACTCAAACTCTACATTGCATCTGAATTCACTGATAAATTATTAAAGGCTGCAGCATCAAAACCTAAGATTGACTAAGGTGAGTCATACGAAAACAATCTTCCTGTTGTGACAAATGGGTCAGTGACCCATAAAAAGAATTTTATCTACACCATTCATTTAATATTGCCAACTAGGCCATAAGCAGTTTGCTTTGATCCCAATGTCACAACTAAACCTTATCTCTCAAGGGACAACATGACTGTCTCAGCAAATTGGTTGAAGCATCAACAAACCCTACCGAAACAATCCTTCACTCGAAACAAACTGTAGCATTAGAGAGCACTCCAAATACTAGCAGGATGAAAAGGATTCAAATACTTTACACTGGCGGATCACACAAGCGACAATGAAGCATTTAGTAAAAGGACCAGTAATGCACTTAATACAGTAAAAAACATATTAGAGAGATTGTTAATTTGAATTAAAGGGAAATCATTCATGGAACTCATGAGCAAACTTCACTACTCAGAACATGCAGAAGCTACATCCCCTTTGCACAAATAAATGCATATATGGAATGAATGGAATCCTGACTGAATTAAAAAGTGAACATACAAAAAAAATTGGGGAAAAGTTCATATTATCTAGTGTGGTGTGCAACAATAAACAGAGCAAATAGGTTATTCAGATAATGTAAACACTTGTGTAGCTTAGAGATACATATCCAGCAAATATAACTAGCCGCTTTCAAGATAAAAATTCATAAGTATGTAAAATATAAAGTAATATGCCTACATGACTCAGCAAGCAATTCTCCAGAACTTGAGTTTCATAAATCGCAAGAATGAGATGAAACAATGAGCTAGATTTGATGAGACTACAAGGCAAAAATTCTACTCTGGGCTAAAATAAACACCAGTCATTTGAACGGCTTCAAGTGAATCAGTCGTAAGAAGCGTGGTTTGAGCAAGAAAGGTGAGAGGCCTCAAACTGGGCCAACGGATTAGCACAGTCGGCGTCAGTCGGAATGGGTCGGGAAAACCAAAGCGGGCGCCTGGAGGACCGAAATCACGCTCCAGCAGGGCGGAACACCGATTACTTGGTTAGCAAGAGCTTTGAGGAGAGAAAACAGCGACCAGGCTCAAGCGTTAACATGGCCGCCGTAAGGATTTTGGGTGACATCGACCCGTCGTCGGGACACACCGGCCGCTTCGTACGAGACCGTTTCCCCACCAATTTTCATCTCCAAGAGAGGGCGGAAAAGCACCTCGGCCGTGGGGCCAACCTCGCGTTTCTACAACAACCCAGGGCAGGCCTCGCGACGCCGAAAAAGGCCGCACCACGCCGTGGCCTGGCCTAAGCATGGACGCGACCACAAGCCGGCGAACAAACATAACACGCATTTCCCCACCGACAATCACACAAATACGCGTCTCTGGCGCAGAGCGAAGCCTCCTTACCCCTTCTCGTCGTCGTCGATATCATTTTTAACCCTCATTCTAGGTAAAATTTAGCAAGTTTTCGGTCACTGCCACTCCACGTCCTCAGAGAAAGCGGCAGGCTGAGCGGCTGGGAACGCGAGGAGCCGTAATGGCGGACCCGAAGCGAACTGCTTCCGGTTCGGCCGATGTTGTTTGGCCGGAGAAGCAGGGCCCTCTACCGGTGACGTGACGTGGATACTACGCGCATCAAAACCGCGCAGCAGACGGGATCGATCGCCGCTTATTTTGGCTCGTTTGCTCCTAAAAACAAATGGTTTTCACGCTTTTTCGCATCACTAATACCGCAGAGTGCTATTCTACTTGCGTGCTGGCTCAGAACGACGATCTGAAACTTGCAGTGCGGAGAAAAGGACTCCGTCTGGTGCCGGCCGCCGCAGTCGACTGGCGCTGCCTTCGATGGTCTCGATTTCATTCATTTCTTTTCAAACTTTGACGCGCGTTGGTTCGGCAAATGTGAGGGCTCCTAAATTACTTGAGTAAAATTTCAAGGTGGTTTTCCTTTGTTTGTCGCATGTTTTCGATTCAATTCTGCATTTCCATCGGTACAGAAAGACGCAAGTCGACAGCTGACTACCGACAGTACTTCCGGTACGTCAAAAAAAGTAAACAACAAAAACAACTTAACATCTACATTCCGCAATCAGACCACACTGAAAGATTTACAGCTTTCATCATTTATGGTTCTTTCAGACCAAAAGGAAAGCCTTACGCTTGAATAATAATGCACTGAAAATGGGCGATTCTTTCAGTCAGAAAACAGACATTTTTCTAATACTTGGGATCAATAACGATTCAGGGGGGTCGGGGAAGGCTCAGCTTCAAGTGTATCCTATCAGTATTCTAATCCTGCTGGCGTATCCTAGCAGATCCTTCATCATTATTTGATCTCTCCCGCTCTTTCGCGACCGGCTGGTTTCCCCCAGTTCCCCCTCCCCTTTCCCGGGATAGGTGGCAAGTTCATTCGCCTCTCACCCCGGCTACCCCGGCCGGCACCGCGGCACTCCGCGGCCGCGCTTGCGCGCTGCGCAACTTAGCTACAGAGGGTTCCTGGTTCCTGTTTTGTACGGAATGTAATTTTCTCGTCATGATTATTTAGATGGCAATGATTAAGCAATAAAATCCCAACACAAACACCTTGTAAAATTTACGAAAAACAAATGTTTATTTTCAAAAGAAATGTTATACTTATTGAATAATCGAGTAACTTCCTGGAACACACTGATGAAAATGACCTCATCAATTTAAAGTCAGAGACGAAATATTTCTGCGCATCTATCTCTCAGTCATTTTGAAAAATTAACATTTTTTTTCAATGGTCAATTTTATGTAGCTTTCAAGTGTCCTTCGTGGTCAGAGTCACTGGAACTGCGTCGGTTTACGACCTGAAGGCTGGTTTGACGCGACGGGGCAAGTTCAAGTTCAAGGAAAAGCGCATCCCTAAACTTTAGTCCTAGTGGCGGGGCTGCGTCAACGAAACAGGCTGGGTTGGGGCCGGCACCACTAGGCCCCACACGTCCCGAGTCCCCAAGTCCCTCCCTGCCCCACAGTCCCCGTCAGTGCCGTACCCGACGTCGACGTCCCTGGTCCCTGTCTGGGCGGCGCTCTCTCCCCCCCCCCCCCTTTCCCTCCCGCCCCGCTCCCTCCCTCTGAGGACGTCGGCCCCTCGGGGTTCCAGGAGAAGGGGGCACAGCAGCCTGGTAGGCCCCTCAAGCCCCCCTAGGCCCCTCGAGGGGCTCAGAGAGAGGGGAGGGGCGCAGCCTAGCGCGGCTGGGGCCACGGCCAGGCAGACTCCTGGAAGGTCCTTGGTCCTGCAGCCATCACGGCCGCCGTGGCATCGGCGGCATCAGGAGCGGTCCAGCGGTTGGCGTCACCGCTCTGTCCGCTCCGGCATTGCGTAGCATCGCGTAGCATCGCGTCGTCGAGGCGTCTGCGACAGGTGAGTCTTCGGGGAGACAGGGCCGATAGGGCACCTGCAGGCTGAGTGGTGCTCTGTCTCTCTCGCACTCATAGGGCATTCCGTAGGGGTGCGACAGAGACAGAGCGACGGAGCACTGTCTGTGATCAGGATACAGTACTGACCCCCGCACACCTTGGCGCTTTTATTTGCGAGGGAGTGGGGGTGTAGGTACACCAGCAGGTGCTACTCATGTTGTAAGAGGCGGTGCCCGTGTCGGGCGGCGATGCGGGTCCACCAGGGCCGCAGGGCGATCTGGATACCGAAATGGGGCGGCTTCATCGAAGGACCGCGAAGAAGCCAATAATCCGCGGTGCGGTCGATGAACCACCTCCAGCGTCCTGCGCGGCGTTCGCGTGAAACTGAGCGAACTGAGGCAGGCCGGCCGTGGAGTGGCCGGCGAGGCCAATAATGAGTTGAAGTAAACAAGGTAAGCGGCTACGCCGCGCAGGTAGAACCGTGGCACCGGAGCCCCCTTGGAGCCAGACCGCCGGCCCGTCTGCCCATCCGGCCTTGACACTGGCGTCCTTGGCCTTGAGCGCGAGGCGCGGTCCGGCCGGCCGGGACGGCACCTTTCAATTTCCTCCAGGCGCTGCAGAGTGCAGCAGGCCGCGGGGGGGTGCGTCTCAGACTGCAGACTGCGGCAGACTGCGTGGGTGGTGGGGAGAGGAGAGAGGAGGGGTCTGTGGGACTGGGAACGCGTCTGGCGAGCGTCGCGCCGTGGCTCCTAAATGCAGGCCGCCACGCCAAGCCCGCGCAGCTGTCAACGAAACGTCAGGACTGCTCGTCGAGTTCCGGACGGCTCCCGGCCGTCTCCCGGCCGACGGACTGCATTACAGCACAACGTCGGCTCCAATCGGCGGGCGCCTCCTCACGACGGCCTCCTCATGACGGCATCCTCTTTGCAGGCCCACCACGTTCCCGACGTAGGCCAGGCGGGCCGCCTCACTGTTCGCGAGAGCCGGCAGCGAAACGGGCCGACCGCCCTACTACCCATCCGCTGGGCCCCGCCGCCCCACCTCCAGGGCCCCCGCCACGCCACGCCACGCCCTACGGTCGTCGCGCTCCTCGGAAGATGTCTGCTGAGGTTGAGGCGGGTCTGGCCGTACGCCGGCCTCCGCAGCCTCCGCCACGGCCCCAGCCCCAGCATCAGCAGCATCTCAGTGAGGCCCCGACCGCCGGCCTGCCAACATGCCCCCCACCTTCCACCACGACCTGCGCGACGACGACCATGACTTCCACCAGGTCCGGGGCGGCGAGGACGGCGTGCGCGTGCTGAGGGCCGCCCCCGCGCTCACCCCGCAGGCCTTCCGACTGCCGCCCCTGCGCCGCCGCCCCGCCGCCTCCCTGCGCGCCCCCAGCATGCTGCTGCGCCGCCCTCGCCGCTGGCTGCAGCTGTGCGGCGGCACCGTCATGGGGCTCATCGTGGGCCTCCTCGTCGGCACGGCAACCAGGTGAGACGCGCTGGCATCCAAGTCTCTGGGGGTCTTCGCTACTAGCGCGGTCACTTCCCCGCCAAAGTTAGTGACAGAGCCATGCGAGCGAAGGCGGCCTTGGGGCGCTCTCTCACTCACACTTCAACTTGACTTCCAGGATCAGCGCTAGGCCGTTTGTCAACACAGATAATAGTGCGCACTGTCTGCGCTACTGAAGTACTGAAGCGAGCGTTCGAGACGCGTCCCTAAATACGAGCCAAAGCCAAGGCCGCCAGCTTGCCGCAAGCGAGAGTGAGTGAGGCGACTTTCGGCTCTGACGTTGACGTGGTCTGGTGGTCCAAGGCGACGTGCGGCCAGCAGGGCGGCCAGCAGGGATCGGCATAAAATCCGCCGCAGCCTCCAGCGTGCAGTCCGTTTAAAAAGTGCAATAAGACAACTTGGCTTTACAAACAATGGCTGCTCCAAGCAGCCTGAACAGCTCCGCGCATTCCTTCTTATTTCCCTTTTTACTCTTTTGGCGGCTCCTGCCTTTGTTTTAGTAGAAGCTGCGATGCCTCTTTTTTCTTTGCTCGAGCGACGGTAAGCGGTTTAGCTTACGAAGTATGTTGACCTGGTACTGTAAAGCACTTAGGACAGGACTGACGCGATCAAACCCCTTGGCCATTTATTAAATTATTTTTTTAAGGTGGACCAATCTGTACCATCAGCTGTTGTACGCCGAACTCATAACTCCCGCCCCCCTTCTTTTTTGTCGAGGAGTTTTCAGCTGATTTCGACGAACCGAGCTCGGGTATCGCTGCGGGCGTATCGTGTTGTGCTTCCCGAGACGCTAAATTGATTACCCGATCCACATCCGCCGTGCCTGTAATTTTCTTGTCCAGCAGTACCGCGGCGACTCGGCGCGCGATGATAAAAGACGGGCCGGCACGGCACAGCACGGGCGCGGGCAGCTGCAACTCTGTGGGCGAATCTGCGCGCCGGTACTTTTGGTCAATTTGAAAGTGTTTCTCATCAGCTGCACCGCACTTCCAAGAACGCGTCCGAAACCCGATAGGAGCCGAGAGTCGCTCAGCCGTACTCTCTCCGCCTCGCTCTCACTCCATGCAGATTCGCCCGGAGCTCGGGCCGGAGTACGTAAATGGCGTAAATGCAGCCCAGGATGCGGGTGGGCAAAAAGAGCGGAAGAGGGCAACGGCGGCTTGGCGCAGGTTTGACACCTGCCAGAGGCGAATTTTGTTTAGCCATCGATGCCAAACCTTCCCTCTCCTCTGTTCCAGGGTCCCAGACGCCAGCCGCCAATGCTACCCCAGCGACCCCCCGGTCGGCGCGGCCCATGGTTCCGCCCCTGTCAGCTCGGCGGGCTCGGGCTTCGGATTTGGGTACGGGTTCGGGTCTGAGCGGTGGACGCCGCCGCCAAGCCCGCCCGGCTACGGCGACGACCACGACCCGCTCCACCTGCTGCAGCCCAACAGCGTGCCGGGGGACCGGCGCGGGCTGGTCATGGTGGGCGTGATGACGGCCGACAAGTACCTGCCGACGCGCGCCGCTGCGGTCTGGGACACGTGGGGCAAGGAGCTGCCGGGCGGCATCGCCTTCTTCTCGGCCAGCTACTCGCGGCCGCCGCCGAACCGCCCCGACCTGCCTCTCGTCGCGCTCAAGGGTCAGTGGAGGCCGGAGGGACGCAGGGGAGGGGCGCAGGGGAGGGGCGCTGGTTACGTCACCGGCGGGGCCACGACCTAACTGTCTGTCCTGGCTGCAGGGGTGGACGACTCGTACCCGCCGCAGAAGAAGTCCTTCCGCATGCTGGAGTACCTCTGGGAGCAGTACGGCGACCACTACGAATGGTTCCTCCGCGCCGACGACGACGTGTACGTGCGCCCGGACAAGCTGGAGAAGCTGCTGCGCTCCGTGGACAGCTCCAAGGTGAGGGTTCGCGTCCCCGTTGATGCTTCATTTTTGAGACAGTGCTCTGACCTGACGACGCCGCCCTGCTCCAGCCGCAGTTCATCGGGCAGGCGGGGCGCGGCAACCAGGAGGAGTTCGGCCTGCTGTCGCTCGAGTTCGACGAGAACTTCTGCATGGGTGGGCCCGGCGTGCTGTTCAGCAGGGAGACGCTGGCCCGCGTCGCGCCGCACGTCAAGCACTGCCTCAAGAACCTGTACACCACGCACGAGGACGTGGAGCTGGGCCGGTGCGTGCAGCGCTTCGCGGGCATCCCCTGCACCTGGTCGTACGAGGTGAGTACGTCGGGGAGGTACGACCCACCGCAGAATGTTCAGCCGCCACCGGCTTCGAAAGCACTGCTGTGCCGCCCTTGGTCGCCATATGTTCCCGCCTCTGAGGGTTTGTGAGAACCGAAGGGCCGTTTGCCGTTTGGATAATCTGACCAACAGACCGCCAGGACTCGAGAAGCCAACGACACGTATCTTGTAGCGGGGCGTGACGGGGAGGGGCGAGGGGCGGCGGGGGCAAGCGCTAGTGCATGCTCCATATACGACAGCCTCGCTTCATCACCGCACCACGGCCATACACTTGTCGCCGCCGAAAGGCAAAGAAACCAAATGACTGCGGGGGCAGAAAAAAATGACGGTCCTCGTCGCAACTTTGTTAGCGACTGCGGCGACAGCCAGCACCAGTAAGGGTCGTTTGCCAATTCGTCCGGAAGTAGGGCACGCCTCAGGGGTCAATGATCCACAGCGGAAGCGGCGAGGAGGGAAATGCGTGTAAAACGGGTCCGGAAAGGAAGACGGCGTGCTTGGACTCACGGCCACCAGCACGGCCAGCACGGCCAGCACGGCCAGCAGCGGCAGTAAAAAGTACAGGCACTGGGTGTCTGGCGCGGCGGGGCGGGCCGCCTCGCCGCAACGCCGCAGCCTGGACGTTCTGGGGCTTCCGGCAAGGGTGAAGTGCGTGCGGGTTGAGGGTGTGGTGGGGGCTTGGAGAGCAGGACTGCAATTCAACGTCGTGGTGGAGTGCTCGCCGCAAGGCTCGCAGGCACTGGGGTGGCGTGCGGGGGCCGATGGCCGGGGGGGTCGTTTTTGTGTGCTCACAGCTCACAAACTCGATCGGTTCGTGACTTTGTTACATGCTCGATGCGCGCGATTCCAACTGCTGGCCCTGCCTCCGGCGAGACCCGAGGTCCAGTCAAAGGGTTGTGCGCCGAGGGTGCGGCGGCAGGGGGCGGGGCCAGAGAGGGGCGGGGAGGGAAGGGGTGCTTTCTCGGGACGTGCACGCTACAGTGTGTTTCTGAAAAAGCGACGCGAATTCTGCGGTTGCAAAATAGTTCACGGTGAGGTTCCGTGCCGTGGAGCACGTACGTCGCTTTCCAGAGCAGGGGTGGGGGTTGTGGGCGGGGCGGGGGCGGGACGGGGGCAGGGCGGGGGCGGGGCGGCAGCCTCGTCTCACCGAAATCAGTATAAACAGAACGATTCCTGGGAGGCGAAGCAAGGCGCGGCCGGCCTTGTCGGCGTCGGGGAGGCAGGGGGAGAGGAGGGGGAAGGGGAAGGACCGCGCTATGTGTACATAGAAGTGCCACTGTCTCACCCACTCGTTGATGCGCCCGCCCAGATGCAGAACATCCTGTACCACAACTCGAGCGGCAACGACGCCTTCACGGGCAACCTGAAGCACCGGGAGGTGCATCGAGCCATCACGCTGCACCCCATCAAGCAGTACCGGCACCTGTACCGCGTGCACAACTACATGGGGGTGAGTGTCCAGCCAGGCCGCTGTGAAGCTGCTTGAGCCACTGTCTCTCTGTCTGACTCACTCCCTGTCCACACAGCAACTCAAGATCCAGGAGTCGTGGCAGCAGGCGCTGTCGCTGCACCGCGACGTACTGGCCATGGTGACGCTGCTGGGCCACGACCCAGCCAGCGTCGGGGACGTGCAGCTGGCCAAGAACGTGCCCCTGTTCCCGGCCAAGCGGGGCGACCGCGACTACCTGGGCGACTCGGCGCTGCTGGGTAAGTCCTGGGGCTGTCCTGAGTGAGGTCCATGTAGAGCGCTCTCGAATTGCTCTGCCCGTCCACAGGCAAGGCGCCCAGCCTCAACAAGTACCGGCCGCGGCGCGAGGCCGACGTGCTTCCCTGGGACTTCATCTCGCGCTCCTTATTCTCGGCGGGGCACGCCAACCCGCGGCGCCGCGTCGAGTCGGCGCTGCGCGAGGGGCTAGACGACGTGGTGCGCGAGGTCATGGACACCATCAACGCCTTCTCCAAGCAGCGCGGTCGCGTCATCGAGTACCGCGAGATCCTCTACGGGTACCACCGCCTCAGCCCCCTGTACGGCGCCGACTACATCCTCGACATGCTGCTCGTGTACAAGAAGTACCGCGGCAAGAAAATGACGGTGCCGGTGCGGCGCCACGCCTACCTGCAGCAGCAATTCACCGGTACGTTGGCACCGGGACACGGCCTTCAGCTCGTGGTGGAAATCTACCCTTCAGCAAACTTGTCTTTTCCAGGACTTGAGATTCGCGAGACGGTGGAGGGCGAGGAGGTCGGCAAGCACTCGGAGCAGCCCGATCTGACGCAGTCCGAGGACGGCGAGGACGCGGGGCCGCCCCAGCAGGGCTTCAGGGAGGCGTTCGAGAGCGGTCTGCTCAAGATCGGCGACGCGCTGCCGGCCATCCTGGGGCGTTCCGGGGGGCTCGACGAGGACCCGCGCGACGAGGCGGGCGTGCGCCGGAAGGCCATCAACTTCATCCTGCCGCTGGCCGGGCGCCACACCACCTTCCGGCGCTTCGTGTCCGTCTTCGAGGAGGTGTGCCTGCAGAACGACGAGAACGTGTCGCTCTTCGTCATCCTCTTCCCCAGCGAGGTCGAGGTGTCCGTCAACGAGACCGTCACGCTCATGTCCTCGCTACAGCGCCGCTACCCTAAGCACCGCCTCGCCGTCGTGCCCGTCTTCGACAGCTTCGCCCGCGCGCTCGCCCTGGAGATTGGCGCGGCCCAGGTCAGGAGCCGTTCTAAGCGTTTACGCCCTGTTTGCCAGTGTACCAAAGACTCTAACCGATTCTGCTGCAGGTCAAGGACGGCGAGGACGACCTGCTGTTCTTCGTGGACGTCGACATGGTGTTCAGCAGGGCGACGCTGGAGCGCATCCGCGTCAGCACGATCCGCGGCAAGCAGGTCTACTTCCCCGTCGTGTTCAGCGAATTCGAGCCCGCCACCGTGTACCGCGACCAGGGCCTCACCGTGGCGCCCAACCACTTCCTCATCAACCAGGACACCGGCTACTGGCGGCAGTACGGCTTCGGCATCGTCAGCGTCTACAAGAGCGACCTGCGGAAGGTACGGACTCTTTCTACCGACCTACAAACCGATTCTGAGGAATCGTTTCGTCGCCTGTCGTTGTCCATGGGGCGCCCAGTGGCGAATCCTGAACTTGAAGTTGCTTCCAGGTGGGCGGCTTCGACACGTCGATCCGCGGCTGGGGCAAGGAGGACGTGGACCTGTTCGACAAGTTCGTGGCCGCGGGGGACAACCTGACGGTGTTCCGCGCCGCCGACCCCAACCTGGTGCACGTGTTCCACATCGTGGACTGCGACCCCGAGCTGGAGCCGGCCCAGCTGAAGATGTGCAAGGGCACGCGGGCCGACACGCTGGGCGGCGTGGACCAGCTGGCGCAGCTCATCTTCTCGCAGGGCCAGGGCAAGGCCGTGCTGGACTTCGCCAGGAAGCGGCGCACCATGCCCGCCCCGACGCCCGCCGCGCTGCCCTCGGCCTGAGGAGTCGTCCGCATGTTACGTAACGCCCTCTGTCTCTCTCGCAATCAGTGACTGATCACAAGGAGCAAAACGGACAGAGCTATGAAATGGCGTTACCTAATTTGTGGACGGCCCCCATGGCTCCTCCCGCGCAAGGCGGATTAGTGATACATGTACAAACTGGCGTTGCGGCCGCATAGCTAGTCTAGGGAAGTCGTGTGATACTTTTGTACTTCGAAGGCTTTGCGTACCACCATGTACTCTGAAAAATTTGTTGACGCCTTGTTCAGTAGCTGCTGGTCAGTCTACATTATTTTCTAGTCCCGGGGATTACAATTAAGGTTTATAGTTGTCCCAAGGCTTATACCTTGGGTCGTTACTTAATTAGGTTGTGATGAATAATGAACATTAAAAGGAAACAACATATTTAAAAAAAAAAAGTGTGTAGCTCTTAAAGTAGAGATAAGAGGTTCTACAAATTTCATGCCATTGGTAACGTCTCAGTATGTATATCATATCCTAGGATCGAATGAATTTATTTCAGTGTCCAAAATGAACCATGTTTCTGTTTGAGCGTACTGTGATATGAACTTGCCTTAACTGTAAAACGTAATGACTGAGCAATTATGCCAAGCCAATTTTGTAAGAAAATAAATCAAAATACTTTTTAATTTTAAACTAGTGAAGCATGTTGATTCGGACCCAGAATTTTCCCCCACCGTCCCTTACACACATGCCTTGCTGGGTTGCTGCCTCTCAATTTTACCACACAGCGCAGCACTGTTCATGGCGGCCGAGGCAGAACACCGAACCGATAGCTCACTAGAGAGAGGAAGGGAGAGGGGGAGAGGGGGGGGGCTAGGGCTTGGTTCTAGTGGGGAAGGAGGGGGAAGGCCTCCCGCCACCGGTCTGTGTCAGTGTTCGGCTCCGCGACAGACCCCCGCCGCACCTACCATGGCCGCCCCAAGAAGCAGCACACTCGTTGTGCCGGCCCTGCTGCTGCTTACACTGTTGGCACTGGTACGGTATATTGTCACGCGGTGACACGTGATGACACGTGGTAGCCTCGGTTCTGGGTCAAACCGCGGGTTCAGTAAGGCCTTGCGTCCCCACGACGACGGCGAGAAGGGGGCCGCAGAGTGTGTCCAAGCCTGAATTCACCCCGACACCCCCTTTTCCTTGTAGTGGTGTGACGCGACTGGTTTGTCAGCAGAGCCCCGGCAGCAGGACGGAGGGCGCCGCTTCCACGGCAAAGCCTCAGGGCGGCAAGGTGCGGCTGACGACGAGCAGTAAGCTTATCCCGGCCGCCGTTCGGCCGCGGCAGTCACGCACGCAGGGTGATTCCGCACAGACCTCCCCGGGGCTGCAGGCCTGAAGGGGGAAGAGAGGGGGTAGCGAGGGGGTAGCCCCGGAGAGGTCTGCAGCGAGCCGCCCTGCAGCCTGCCGAGCGTGACCAGGGCCTCGTTGCAGGGCGCGGCGGCGATGCTGCGGTGGATGGGCCGGGAGATGCCGGAGCTGGCGATCAAGCTGGTGAGCTGCGTCAAGAAGAGCGAGCGGGACGCGCGGGACTCCATCATGAGCCTGTTCGGCGACGTGGCCAAGTGCTTCGACGACGCCAAGGGCTCCGTGCTGTACACCGCCGAGTGCATGCTCAAGAACGGCGTGCCCAGGATCCTGAACGTCATCACGGTGGCGCACAAGGTGGCGGCGTGCACCGTCAAGAACAAGAAGGAGGGCCGCCTCTGCGTCACCGTCACCAACGTCAACGACGAGGCCTGCCCCTTCGCCATCGGCCTGTGAAAACGTGCAAATAAATGTGCCAATAAAGAGAAACTTGCGGAACGGCGTGCTTTTGACCCAACCCCACCGAGGCGCCGCGAGCTGCGCGAGCCACCCGCCCCGTTTGCTGGGAAGTGGAATTCACGCAATTCCCAACGAAACCGAACTACACAGGGAACGGAGTTGCGAGGGAGTTTCGCCTCAGCCCCGTTCCAGAGCTGGAAAGTATTTCTAGCACCGCGCGGTTCTGCGCAGGTCGGCTGCGTGGGTCGCCAACTTTCCCAGCCGCCGCCGCCACGCCCGCCAGCATCCCCCGCGACCCGGCCGGCCGTTCGTTGCGCTCGGCTAAATTGAATCGCAAAGACGCATGCGCTGACTCCGCGCGGCAGCGAGGGGTCGCAGGTCGCAGGGGGGTGGAATGTACGGTCCGGCAGTGGTAGGCGGCGACACAAATTTGATGTGTGCGACCAGGCGGATTTCGGTGAACAGCGTCGATCGCACCTGTATCGGCGGCGGCGCCCCACCCCTCCCGCCCTGCCGCCTGCCGCCCCGCTCCGCCCGGCCGCGCGAGCACAATGGCCGCGGGGGCGCGGGGGCGTGGCGAGGGGAGAACGCCCCGCACACCAAGCACGGCAGCCGGGCGAAGACCAGCTCTCGCCATGAACACCGCCAGCGATGTGTTCAAGTCGTTGGTCGTCGTCGCCCTGGCCGCCGGCATGCTGAACGTGAGCGAGGGGCGAGGCACCCCGATGCGATTTGGCCAACGCCCAGCCAGGCTAGCCCTGACCCATGCTTTGATCCACACAGGTGGCGTCCGGAGCGACGACAACCCCTGCAGCGGCGGCCCCCGCGTCCGGGACCACCGCGGCAGCCAACAACGCCGCCATGAAGAACCTGAAAAAGGTATGCCCCGGGCTGGGCCGGGTGGGCCGTCGGGTAGGCAATAAGCTTGGCGATAGGCCGTGGGGCGAGTCCACCCTGCCGCTTGCACGCCGTCGCAGGGTTGGTTCCACCGTGCCGGCGGAGCGCCCGCGTAGCGCCCGCGTAGCGCCCGCAACCTCCATGCCACAGGGAGTCAAGAGAAAACCACAGCGAAAAGTGACCCCGCCCCTCAGACCGAACAGTGCGAGCCTCGAATCGCCAAGAAGAGACATGGGGTGTGCGTGAGTGAAGCCCCGCCATGCCGCCATGCCGCCATGCCGCCATGCAGTGCACTGAGATGAAGGCGCCCTTGTTGGCAGCTGGAGGAGTGCGCGGGCGGGCCGCAGGCGATAGAGGACTCCCACCTCGCAACCTTCCAAGCCTTCGAGCTGGCGGACCCGCGCGCCTACCGCCGCGCCGTGGCCCGCAAGTTGTCCGGCGTCGTCTACAAGGCGATCCGCTGCACCGCGCCGCACACCCCCGAGCTCATCAAGATCGCCGTGAGGCTGCTCTGGAGCACCGCCAAGTGCGTGGTCGCCTCCATGGGCGCGCCGGCCGCCTTCATGACCTGCGAGTTGGGCGTCGCGATGCGGACGTCGTTCCCCTTCTTCCTCGTCGTGGGCAAGATTACCATCTGCATGATCAAGATGGTGACCTCCGGCACGAACCCGCCGCCCGTCGAGGGCGAGGACGTCCCGGAAGCCGCCCCCACCCCCTTCCCCGTCCCCCAGCCCACCCTCCCCGACTCCACCGCCCCCAGCACCACCGACAGCGACGACGACTGGCCCTACTCGGCGCGGAACTGAGTCTGTTCGTGCGGAGGTCTCTCCCTGCACATGTATTCTGTACGAAATACACGAACAATGTGGGGAATCTCGATGTACACTAGGATGGGAGTCCGGTGCAAGAACTGAGGCGATGCCCTGCTGTCCGGCAGGGGCTCGACCACCGCGACGGTGGCCGCCATGCGGACGGGGCCCGTCACGTTGACGGGGGCGATCACCGCGGAGGCCCGAAGGACCCCGGGCCTGGGCCTGGGCCTGGGGGAGCCTTGTCGATCCTGCGCGCCGCGGCCAGGGGCATCGCCGCCGCGGCCAGCCGCGCCCGGACGATCCCGCGGGAAGGCGCGCAGTCCAGGATGGTCTTGTACCTGCTGCTGCCCTGCGTCAAGGACAGAACGCTGACCCTGGGACTCCTGGCGTACTCCACCATGCAGGACGCTATCAACTGCATGATGGAGCAGCAGTACCAGTGGTTCGCCTCTGGTGTCTGCATGCTCGACGGCACTACGTACAAGAACGTCATCGCGCTGGTCGAGATCGGCATGGACGTCTTGAGGTGCATCCTGCAGTGCTTGGCGCTCGCCAGCAAGACCAACGAGGAAAGGGCCCTCCCCAGCCGCGGTGGCTGGAGCGACGTGTCGGTGCCGCTGTGCAACGCCGAACCCGTCAAGGATGACGTGCAGGTCCCGGAGGCCGCCAGCCTGGTGGCCAGGCACGCCAAACAGGCCTGCCAGGTCGTCGTCAAAGAGCTGGACCACTCTTCTTGACTTGTCTAATTAAATTCGTCACCTCATTTCGTTATGCTTTGTTCATACTTCCTTGACTTGACTTGGACAGGGGACCACAAATAATCCTCCACCTCTTTCGGGTCCCTCCTTAGCGTCTTGGTGCCGCGGGATCCTCGAATCGCGAAAGCATGTGGGTTGGTGGGAATAACACAAATGTACAGGAAGATTTAGACTCTAATTCGCCACATGCTCAGCCAAAACGTTGCAACCCAATCCCGATCATAGAATCGCTCGGGCACTCCAAGTGCCAGATTAGAAAATAGAAAATTTGCCAAAAATGACCTTTAAACTAGGGCGTTTTGCACTATTTTGGCGAGATGGTTTCACCTAAGAGACAGCGGTCTGCCGTTGCAGCTGCTGTCGACGGTGGACCCGAACCAGCTGGCGGACGCCGTGACCCGCTTCATCTACTGTGCGTCGCACCACCACAAGGCCCTGCAGAACGTCGTGACGCCCGCCCTGGCCGAGTGGAACGCGTGCGGCAGCAAGCAGCCGTCGGACTGGGAGGCGCAGGTCGCCTGCTTCCTCAAGAGCGCCAACAACCTGGCCACCTTCGTGGCGCTCGGCCACCAGGTGAGCCATCAACCAGAGCGCTAGAGACCGGCAAGCGTGCCGACTTGGCCGACTCTTACTGTCTTACCTCTCCGCAGATCAGCAGCATCGCGGGGTGCTTCGTGGGCGCCAACGCGACTGACGTGCTGTGCGTGAAGAAGGTGCAGAAGAGCGAGGAGTGCGCCAACATGTGCACGGAGTCGCACTCCTCGCAGTCCGAGACCGCCGTCATCGCCGTGGTCGCGGTGCCGCCCACCGTCAGGAAGGTGCAGTAGAACGCCAACCCTCGCAAGACACATTTTCTAGCAGCCGGCGGCAAATTTACCGAGCACCTGACTTGTTGTTCCAGGACGACTGCAAACTGACAAGCAAAGGCGGCGTCACGCCAGCCAACTCCAACCTCACCGCCTCCCTCGACTTCACCATGAAGGTGCTGCAGTGCCTACCCTCCTACTTCGGCGACTCGTACCAGCACCTCCTGGAGCACATCAAGTTGATCAACACCTGCACGCAGCAGTACGAGGACAACTGGTACAACTGGGCTAAGTGCGTGGTGGAGGCCCACGACATCAAGCTCGTCTCGCCTTACTTCGTCAAGGTGAGCCCCGTGAAGAAAATAACCGATTTTATCGGCCGATTTCCGGAAAGCGGACATCCAAAAATTGGGTTGCGACTTTGCAGAGCCGGCAGACGGTGGCGTGCGTCATCGGCGGGGACATCCCCGCGCAGACGGTGTGCGTCCGCAACGTGAAGAACGCCGAGGAGTGCCGGTCGTGCGGCGGCCAGGACCTGCATCCCGTCGAGTCCGTGCCGCCCCTGGGCGCCACCAACAACTGCGTGTAGCTCGCGGGCCGTCGTCGGAAAAGGGTTGAAACAAATGAAAACGAAATCGATGAAAACTGTTGGACGCCACGAGTGCGAGTGAGGTTCAGCCGCCGCCTCGCTCCGCCTCGCGCCGCCTGCAGGCCGGCAGGTAGGCATCCCTGCCGGCAGGGAAGCAGTGACGCTCGCGGGGTTGCCTATCACAGGCGCTCCAGGCGCCCTCGCTGTGACAGTGACCCCGGCTGCAGTGCAGACACTCTCAGACGGGTGATCGGCAGGGGTCAAGACCCCCTCTGTCACCAACGTCATCCTGCTGCGACACATCCCGGAGATAAACGAAGTTCCCGTCAGAAATAAAGGCAAACCAGGCGGCAGACGGCATCAACTGGCCTTCCCCTTCCAAAGGACAGCAGCGCGATCCCTCTCTCCGCCCGCCCCGCCCCGCCGGGCACCCCACCACGCCTAGCGTCTGGTGGGGGACTAGGCAGGCTGGGGCCGCAGAGAAGAGAAGGGGAGTGAAAGGCGGAAAGGCGGAGGCCACCTCCGCGGGCAACGTGCGCGCCTGGTCGCGAGAACATTTGCCGCGCCGCCATGCTCATTCCGAACCGCATTGCTAACATATTTGGCATCGCAGCACAGCGCTCGCGGCCATGGCAGCCCATGGCGCAGCACGCCAGCCAGCCAGCCTGCCAGCCCGGCATGCCATGAGCTCGGGCTGCTCGGGATGGTGCTGCTACGCCCCACGGCCCATGGCTCCCTGGCCTCTCTCGCGCCTCTTGCCGGGAGATGGGAGGCTGGAGCTTCACCGCCCCGCGCCGCGCTCCGGCATGGCTCCGGCATGGCTCCGGCATGGCCCCACCGCGGTGGACCGGCTCGGCTTGCCCGGTTCGGCACGGACCGGCGCCGTGAAGCGCCGCGTTCACCAGCTTCCACCTGACGGTGGCCGTGCTCCCGGTCGCCCTGTCGGGTCTCGGCTGGGAGACCCTGTGAGGGTGTTCGTTGCTCGCTGCGTGAGCTGCGTGGAGCAGGCAGGGGGTGGGCCGTGTTCACCTGCTCCATGCTTTAGAGTGTAGGGGCGGCGCCCCAGCGCGGCGCGGGGCTGCGGTGCGTCGGCAGCGGCTGGAACAGCGAGAGGCAAACCGAGCAAAGGCGGCGAAGAGGTCGCGTCTCCGGGGAGGTCGATAAGGCACTAACGCAGTTGGCGCCAATCACATGATGTGGTCTGTACCTAGACTGCACCACGGGGTGCGGCAGGTGCGGCGACTCCGCCGTGGCCGCGGGGAAGGCGGCAGCACCTCCGCGTCGAAGAGACAGACGGCACCGAGTTCCAAGTGTCCAAAGTGCCCGGTGGCGGTGGTAAGATCGCGGGCAGCTGAACTGCCCCGCCGCGCTGTCCGCGCTTCTCCACCCCCACCAGCCCCTCCCCACCTTGGGCCATCCCTTCTCCCTGTCCAGCCCCCACTCCCACAGCCCCCACCCGCACCCTTAGATCCCCCACCCTCCGCGGCGACGTCGTATCAGCACCGTCCCTCGCGTCCCCGTCGGTTTGCGAAATTCGACCACCGCCGGTTTGGCTCGGTGTGCTGCCAGGAGAACAGCGCCGCCGAGGAGGTCGATTTCGCGAATTTGCAAGTGGCTCGTGTGGTGGTGGGCATGGCGGGGCTGGCGGGGCGACCTCAGCACGCGGTTCGCGTCGTGGCGGGGGAATTGTCCCCGCCACGCCCCGCGCCTCTCCCCCCTCCCCCCAGCTACCGCCTACCGCCGCGGCGTGCCCATGTGTGGCCGCGATGCCCACCGGCTCATCACCCTCTGCTGAACAGGGGGGTCATGTGCGTGAGTATGGAAAAGGGGAAGTTCAACAGAGTGCGTGCAGAAATTGGAAAATCGAGGCAACAATAATGGTGGTTGAACCTGTTTTCTGCCTTGAAGTAATATTTAAGAACGATATGGACATTGTATGGAAAACTATGGGAAATTATTTGATCTCTTATACAAATTTTAAGTAGAATGGGCAGTAGTTGTATTGTTTCCAGAAAGGAATTTATGATCTATTGTTGGTGCCACTTTTAACGATGAACTTTTTTCGCATGGGTACTTCATTGGCCGATGAACAAGATAACTTCAACCATATATTATGCCGCGTGAAGTCTGTAAAAACGTCTCCGCCGCTGCCATTTCAACGGTGGCTGGTTTGCGAGGCAATTCAAATATGGCCGCCTTGGCCAGCCTTGGCGGGCAAGCGACTTCCTCCTACTCTTCTTCTCTCCTGCCGCGCGTCTCTTGTTTTTGTGCCGGTTTCCGGTCCCATGGTCTTCCGGCCAAACATCCCTACATGTGCCACAAGCACTAGCCGACTCCAAGCGTGAAGTCAGTCTTCTACTCATCATGAGAGCTAAGGTATGCCTTCCCACATCCTCCCGTGTTGTGTAGCATCAATTGGAAGTTGAAATCCACTCTACCGGCTGAATTTCTTCAAGTTGGAGTAAACTCTAACCTCTCCGTCGGTGTGCTGCGCGCTGCGCCCTGACTGCGCCGTAGTACTTGTGTGGTTGGGATGCCGCGTGCAACGTGCTGGCCTTTGATTTTTCATTTGGTGTCCCCAACGCGTTTTATGCCTCGAATTTGAACATTTCTTTTAATGTGTCCCCTGTTTACGGTCTCTGTGGTGATCCGTCTGGATTCGTCCAGTACCTTGTTCTCTCAGATAGTCGAGTTGATTCTTAAAGTTCTGGATAGGATTTCCATTGTGCTGTAGAAGACATGTTGACTTATATTCCTGTTTCCTTCTTTTCAGTGGAGGAAGAAGCGTATGCGCAGGCTAAAGCGGAAGAGGAGAAAGATGAGGGCAAGGTCCAAGTAGATCACTCGGTAAGTTTCGACTGAGTCCGTCTTACTGTCTCTTGCCGATTGTTTGCATTTTAATATTCATGTCTCATTAGTGCCATATGTCCACTCCTTGTTAATCTGGAATTTTGATCAGTCAATGCTAATTTGTCCCGTTCTATAATCTGTTTGCTTGTGAGAAGTCAGTGTTTGAGTGGTATTATGAGCAGTTGTCTCTATATTAAATTAGGGGTGACTTCTGATATTAGTACTGTCTTCATCTCAAGTAAATTGTGAAAGGGTTGTCACATGCTGAGCAATTCATCGGAGCCCAAGTAATATCGCCTTGATCGCTTCTCATCCATGTGGCCAAAGGCTGTCCTAATTGAAAAGGCCTACCTTGCGGGGTTCTAGTAGTTCTATTAGGCATGCAGTTGCATATTAATTTTGTTCAAGTTCCTCTACTAAAGAGTTGTGAATTTCAGCTTCCATCTTCTAATCAGTGTCTCTTTCTGTTACAGCTCTTCAAATCCTGAAAGCACCTGTCAACCAAGCAATCTACCAACTTGGTGCAACATCAGTTGACCACATGAAGCTCTATTTTTCTGTACCTCTGTGAAAATACAAATTGCTCTCAGGACTTCGTTGTCTTCTTCAACCCTCTTCAAACATTCATGTACCGCATTCTCAGAAATATTCAATGATTGAGCTGGGTTACTGACAGGTAGTCTCCGATCGTTAAAGTGATGAATACTTTTTAATTTAGACGGGCTTATGAGATTGATGGTGCAAGTATCACTTTCAATGAATTTTGGTTGAGCATGAGAACAGAAGTGGAGTTTTCATCCACTACACTCTACACCCATGCAACATCCTTTCAAGGACTTTAACACCAATCTGACAATGGTCTTATTGCTACAGAATTGAACATGATTATGACATTTGAGTTGATATCTCCGTCTTGCGTGAAGAAACCTCGACACACTCACCTGTTTCGACGGGAGTTTCGAGATCGAGTCCTCTAAAAACACTTCCCCCCTCCCCCTCCCCACCCGCGAGCCCGAGCTGGCGATAAATAGAGGAGACGTAAAAGTCACTTGTGTTGGTGAATTTTAAGTCATTCCCTGGAAATACTTGGTGAATTCAAGGCTTAAAGTGTTGAATTGAGAGTGCACATCTCGAGGAAAGTCTTTTACTTAGGCATCCTTGTGTTTGCTCGTGCCAGCGGACGGATAAGTGATGACGGACTTAACCTCTGGATACGTCAGGCACGTCGCAATGTTGACAAAGTTGTTGATTGGAATATATTTACTCTCTGTTGTGAATGGAAAGTCAGTTTCGCTGCCTCAAACAGCTTCAGAGTCGACAGTTGTGGAGAAAATTATTAAGGAACGATGCAAGTTTTCCAGCTCAGCAGGGTCGTTAACGTTCCCTCCTGCTAACCTTCAAATTCCTGATAAATGCTCTAAGCTGTCACTGTCGTCGCAGCAAGCTCCCGACGACCTAAGTAGCAACATTGATTATTTCCTCTGTGTTGCTCTGTTGGACTCGACAGAGCGATTGTGCCATATCACAAAGGGAAATCTTGACTTTGCGAAACGTGTTTCTGAGGCTCTGACTGATTCACTTCAATCAATGATGACTGACGATGGTGATGATACATTTTGTAAAGAAATGAATATAATTGATCCCGATGCTAAGTATCCACCTGCCAAAGTTTTGTATGACAGAATTAGACAGAAACAGAGTTACTGTGCTGCAATTTGTGTGGGAATGGGGGATAAAGAAACCGCTCAGAGAGAACCAATCTGTAAATCCATACAGTTTGCTCATCAGCAAATTCATGCTGCGATAGAACTTCAAACAAACTTTAACAACCAAGGTAATTAATTTATTGGGAGTTATTTCTGGCAAATTTTGAATTGTGTGGTTGAACCACTCATATTTCTCATTATTTTCAGGCGGCCTGATTAAAGAAAGAGAAGAAAATCCTGTTGATACCAAAGCTGTGAGAACACCCGGGAGTAATCTGAAACAGCCAGTGCTTGACGAGTCACAGGCACCAGTTGTTTCTCAGACCAGTCAGAGAGCCAATGCTCAAGGCACCCCAGATGAATCTCGTATGGCTTCAAATACAGATGCAGGTGAGTGTGAGTGATGGTCAATGAATAATACATTCACTCTTGAATTTCGCCTTGATTCAGTTACTTTTGAACTTGTTTTCATTATTTCTTTTCTTTCATATCCTTTGAACAGGATCCAACTCAAAGCCATCTGAAGTCCAATCTTCCATAAGGAATCTGCCCGCCAACCCAGTTGCGCTTCATGCTGTGGAAGCTGCACAAGCTGTACAGCCTGTGCAAGCTGTGCAAGCTGTAGATCCAGATCCCAAGTTATCTGCTACTAGTCCCTCCAAAAATGATAACATCAAAGTTACAGACAAAAAGGTACCTGTCTTGCCAGCAGAGACAAATGAGAACATACCTGCTTTGCCTGCTGAGACAAATGAAAATGAAAAGGCAAGTGGTAGCTTGGCAGCAGACAAGACAGAGCTGGATAGCCCTAACCTGGCCCAGAAATCAGAAGAACACACAGAAGACTTGAAGGTGGATGGTAATCAGAACAGGAATGATCCAGCAGAGGCAGATGAGATTCCACCTCAGACAGAGGACAATGATGGGCAAGATGATCTCTTGAAACAAGAACCATTTGACGGAGAAGGTTTGTTTCTTTCATGATAATTTTAAGATACAGTTGATAGACTCCCAACATCATCTGAAATGTTTCTTTTTCTTAGATGATGAATCTATGCTTGGTAATGGAGCTCTTGAAGCCAACAGAGATGCAGCTGAGAAACGTAAGTGTGCTGATTGGTAAAATTTATGAAGTTTTTAATTTGGTTACCAATTAAATTGTCAATTATTGAAGTCAAATTACTCTTACTTTCAGCTCCACCTATTGAGAAGAAAGTACCAAGTGCTCCCTTACTATCATCTCAACAAAAAACGCCCCAGGCATCAATGATGGGAAATTTTGAAGAAGCTGAGGACTCTCATTTCTTCGCCTACTTCATGTCCTTATCAGGATTGTGTATCCTTTCGTACCTTGTGTACCATAATAAACGAAAGGTTTGTTCTTGTTCATAATGGCAAGTCAAGGTAGAGTAGTAGAGAACTGATAAACAATTTGTAACCACTCAATTAAAATTTTTCAGATCATTGCAATGGCTGTTGAAGGTAAAAAAAGTAGAAATACTGGCAGGCGCCGCCCCAACTCTGCGAGTTACCATAAGCTCGACAGTAATTTAGAAGAAGCAATGTCATCAAACTTAGCATCAACCAATTCATATGTCATATATTAATTTATTGTTTGAATCAAACTGTGATTTTCATTTTTCCTTAGAACTAAATTATATTTACCAAGGAAAAAACAAGAAAAAAGAAACCATGTAATTTATAGTCATTATTAAGTTATAATGTGTGGACTTGTAGTGCCTCTTTGAATAATCTCTCTGCCTGTGATGAGAATGTTAACAAATTTCAGTTTTTTTTAACATCTGCACTGTTCTGTTACAGAATGCATCTAATTGTAGCCAAGTTTGGAACAGTTTTCTACATTTTATGATGTGTACAGTTAACTGCTTCTCTTCTTGCTACAATGTTTTGTGATAATTATAAACTTGATAAAATATGTTTGGAAAAGAATCAAAAACTTAGGTGGTACCATACATTGCTATAAAATTCTTCTCGGAAGTCATCCTGTAGTTTTGCTTTGAGCTTGTTTTCTATTACAGTCAGTAGCAAATATGTGGAAGGGTGCTAAGTTCTATGGGCCTTCACTTAAGCGAATAAATGCATTTTGTTTGATGTGTGTAAGGAAAATCATAGTTCAAAACTATGTATATCATTCATGTACAATTTGACTGATAGCGCATACATTTCTTACAACAAAAATGGTATTGTTATATCTGCTTTAAAAGACTGATAAATAATTTACTTGGGACATGGGGATCAAATTAGCTGGCCACTGATACTTGATAAGTGGTCTGCAACTTAAATTTGCTGTTGATCATATTTAAAAAATACTTGCAGTTTTGTACCATGTAAATGCAATTGTATAAAGTAGACTTAGTTTTTTTTCTTATCTTTTCTAACTGCATTTCAAGGAGCTTGCCAGTTACTCTCTAAAGAATCATGTTATTTTTGTGTTGTTTTCTTTGAGGGAGATCTGTACACTTTTGTGGAAGCTTTGAATTTAGTAAACTTAATTAATCTGGAAAATAAGTTGTCTAATGCCAGTAAACTTCTTCCCTCGGCCATTTTGGATTCTGTAATTGAATGTGCCCTTCCCCCTGCCCGCAAATTATTGTGAACTATACTGTGTTTTTATTCTTATTTTAATTTTGGAACTAATGTAAATGAGTTTGTTTTGCATTTAAGATGCAGTGGAAACCACTTTTACTAGTAGAGCCTGGGTCTAGTCGATAATCTGTAAAATTTATTGCAGATTTTTTTAAAGGAATGGTCTTTGGTGAGTGGCCAAAAAAACACAGCATTCGCTAAAAGGGGCTTCCACTGTACCATATGTTGTGTAGCAATGCAGAGCTGCTTCGGTGCTGAACAAGAATTTCTTGTGATTCTTTTTCTCAGAATTTACTCATTAGTAGTATGATTTTAAAATATTGTTATGGATTGTATCAAGGAAAGATTCTTTTTCTTTCCTCATGAGGCAATTTGTCCAAGAGCAATTAACTGCAAAATTTTTGCTAAATGTCTCTAAAATGGAGAGAGAGAAAAGAAAAATGTTAGGGAATTCTGTGATTTTATTGTACAAATGCCTCACTTAAATCAAATGTTTCATTTATATCAGAGGTTCTTTATTTGCAATTCTTTGTAGATCTTTGTGTAATTGGTAGTCTGTACTTAGTTGCTAATCTAGTATTGGAAACACCTTTTGCAGCACTTAATGGTCATTAAACTATTGTTGTATGCAGCACTTTCGATTTTGGTGTTCTTGCCTTCCCTTCACACCCAACCTATGTGACAGAAAGGAGTAAAAGGGGACTCTCTCTGTTTTTGTACAACGTTTACAGATCTCTAATTTTGCCTAGTCCTCAAAAGTCAGTTCCCTCTTAAGCTTTTAATTCAGGACTCTATTATTGACTAATTTACAATATTGACATTCCGCACAGCAAATTTTTCATAACAGCTTGCTTACTGCTTGCAGAAGGAAGCGAAAAGACAACAACGAGTTTCGGAATCGCCAAGTTAGAGCCGTTCACCTGCTAATGGATTCATTCTACTCTAGTGAATTGCATTGCAATGTTGAAGTTTAGAACGGTACTGAACACTAAATTTCCCGTTTACATAGTCTTCATTTTGTATGTGTCATACAAGGCCTAACCTCACTTCCACTAACTTTAAGACCATCTAATGCTCTTTGTTGGTTTCTTAGTATTTCATTCAAAATTTAAAAGTTCGAGATTATGGAGGTTTCAATTAAGTTTCGTTTTGTATCCCCTGGTTTTTAAATCTTTATACAGACTTGTCTCTTCTTTCTTACAGAGTTCAACAGTGTAGTTAAATCTTTAATCAACGTCATGAAGTTTTGTAGATACCTTATATTGTTTTTACTTTTAATTTATGGTAAGATGAACATATTGACTGATAAATCTGTGATATGGCAATGTACTTGGCATGCATTTATCTTACAGTAACTTCTCTTTCAGGTGCGCAGTCGAATGATACTCAACATATTTCAGATGACAGTGTCCCTTCCGAAATAGCAACGGTATGGTTTTGAAAACTCAGCCTATTTTTCCTTTTAAGAATATTTTTTGTTAGTTTGCTGACGAAATGCAATGTAAATGACATCCTCTCATTTTTCCATCATTTTCAAGGGGATGGAGGATCCAGCTTCTGCATCAGGACTGGAAGCAAATCCAATTCCAGTGGAAGGTATTGCAACACCAGATGTTGAAGAGTCCAGTGTATCGCAAGACAATGCAACTTCAGTTCAAAAGAACATTACACATGTGTTCATTAATTGCTCAAGAACTGAAAATATTACTCCAGAAGTTGAGGTAAGTGTATTTTAATATTTCACTGCCACTGTTCCAATTCACTGATGCACTGCAAATTGAAATCTAATCAAGAATCTCATCAATAAGCTAGAGATTAGGTTATATATCCTAACAAATTTTATTTATGTCTCCTTTTGAAATATTGGAAGTGGCGTACGAAGCTTAAAGTGCACATTTTACATCTAGAACTTCTCTTTTCAGCTTGTCAACTCAACACGTTTACTTAGTCTTCTTGTGGTAAACCCAAACATCACTAGAGCAGTTTCAGCGGACTGTCTCGGCGTTTACTTTTTTGCTAGATGGTGCCCATTTAGTACAATGGCAGCACCTCACATCAATGCCCTTCCAAGGGTATTTCCTAACATAAGAATGGTTGCTGTTGATGCAATGAAATATCATGTGTAAGTCATTTTTGGTGGGTGACATTTAGTGTTTGAATTGAGTTATCTTAATCAGTTTTATGATATCTATTATTTTTTCTTTGTTTGTGTTTCAGATTTAATACACAGTATGGAGTTGTTGGTGTTCCAACTTTTATTTTATTTCACAATGGGAGGCCAGCTGTGAAGTTTAATGAGACTGATTACAATTTAGAAAGATTTTCTACATTTATTACAAAATTCACAAGTAAGTTCAAACTTGTCTTTTCTCAGAAATTTTTATCCGAGATTAAATATTTTATTACAGAACCTTTATAATTAGTGATTAATATGACATTTTCTTCTTCCAGCAATACCACCTGTTGAGTTGATTTCTGTTACATCTGCGGACTTCAGTGGCCCAGTGCCCAGTGTTGTTGTAAAAGAACCAGATTACTTCTTGTGGCTATCATGGGCATTCTTAGCAGTCTCTGCAATTGTATTCTTTACTAAGTCATCCTGGTACCGAATTATTGTTGAAGCTGTTAAAGTGACATGGAGGGAAAGTGAAGCACAACATGATCACATGGACTGAAGTTATTTAAGGATTGTAATGTGTTATTGTCATTAATTAAAAGTTTCTAGTCTCATCCCATAAAAAAAGTGGATTTTGGCTATTTTCATCCCCAGAAATGGCTCTCTGCAAAGCCATTGTCCCTCTCTCTGGCTAATTAGTAGTTCTTAATTTTGTCCTACGTACTGTATTTTTATTTGTTATCTCTCAAAAAAATAAAATATCTGAGGCGAGGTGGAACTTTATGCTCTCATCACTTTGGCGGTGCTTTTCCAGTTCGGTGCGCACGTGCGCCGACGTCCCTGTTTGTGGCAAAAATATTGTGGCCACACAAGCCCTGTTCCATCGTTGGATTTGGTACAGCTGCGCTGAGCCGCTTGCTCGGGGCAGCTGCGGTTGTAGCGCCTTGCGAGGTAGGCCACCGGCCCGGTCCGCAACACACCGATGTGGAGACGGTGGCCTACCTTGCCCCTGTGAAGACGACAGGGGCAACTTAGGCCACCGTCTCCACACCGGACCGGACCGGTGGCCTACCTCGCAGGCGCTAAGGGGTGCTCCAGACGGGCTGGCACTGAAACTACGCGCTACACGGCGCCAAACCCTCACGGTGAAATCCATGGCTTGACGAATCTAAACGTCATAAGATAACGCGTTCCCGGTTTTAGGCCCGCTGCCGGTTCGGTCGCCCAATGCTAGCTCGTGCGGTGCTGCAGGCGCGCGCCGACATCCTGTTGTTGTGGCACGCAGGGCAGGGCACGCAGGGCGTCGTCCTTGGGTCAACAGCAAAAGGAAAAGCAGGTCCTGCGTGGTCCTGCGGCCATCCTGGAGGAAAGCAGTGTTACCCCGAGGGCCCACCTCTGGGGCCCACACCGCAGGGCGCAGGGCCCCTGCAGGGGCAACGCTAGCCAACAGTGTATTGCGCAATGCTCTCGGCCATGGCGCGGCCCGCGGCCCGGCCGCCATTACCAGGTCCATCATGCATGCGAAATGGAGCCAGCCAGTAAGTGTTGTCACGAGAGTGGACGAAAAGCCGTACGATGCACCAGTGTCGAAAGGGTTGGCAACGTCAGCCTGCCGACTAGGCAACTTCTCGAGGAGCAAGGGCCAGATATTGCCTCTCAAGCAGGCGCAGGTTCGTAACCCTTTCAACACCGGTGCATTGTGGGAAGTTTTGCCTATTCGTGTGGCAACACTGGAGCAAGTCAGCCTCTCCAGCCGTGTAGCCGAAACTGGAAGGCTGGAAGCAGGCTCCTTAGTCTGCTGCATGCATGTCTCCGTCTCTGGGCCTCAGCATTTCACTAATGCGGGCCATGCAGTCGGGTTTCGTGGTTCCGTCACTCTGTCTCACTCGCACTGGCCGTGCGGTAGGTGTGTGCGAGAGAGGGAGGGAGGGAGAGAGAGAGAGAGAGAGAGAGAGAGAGAGAGAGAGAGAGAGAGAGCGGTAAAGCGCTGCTAGAAGTCAACCTGCTGTGCTGCTGGACCGCGCTTTGTTTGAAAAATGGACCCTCGACTGTGCTGTCGATATGGCCATGGTGGGCTGGGTGGTGGTCGTTATGATATCGCCGGCTTGCCATCGCTATTGGCAGACCACCTCTCGCACTCATGGGGCGTCCCGTGTGGGTGCGAGAGAGACAGAGCGACGAAAACGACTCTCGGAATCAGACTGCAGCCCGGCGCACTTGCCGCTTCGATTATAGAAGGCCCTTGGGCGAGCAGGATCATTATTTACCCCTTTTACGCACGCTTGGAACGACCAGCCCAGGCAGCCCAGCCCCCTGCCCAGCCCCCTGCCCAGCCCAGGGCAGCCGGCCGCCGGTCACTTTAGCCAGCCCGTCTACCCCGTCTACCTTGGGCCGGCGCGGCGTGGCGCATGCTGCACTCGCACTCGACTCGATGCATACGACTGCGCACCGCGCCACCGCGCCGGCCAGCAACAAGATCGACGAGAAAGAGGAAAGCACCGGCGGAGTCAACGGGGAGCAGTCTATCGGGGCGAAGGGCGTAGGGGTGCGTCTGTGCCATGGTGCGTCGCGGGGCAGATTGGAGGTTTCGCTCCACTTATCCGCGCCCCTCTCCCTTAAACTCCTCCTCCCCCTCCCCGCCAACAAAAACAATGGCCGGGATGTTGTGGCGGCGCACCGTGGCGAGGTGAGCGGGCGTGGCGCGGCGCGGCGCAGTGCGGATCGCTTGGACGGCGCGGTGCTCGGCGCGACCTTGCCAAGGCTGTACGACTCACGCAGTTATGTTCAACAATCTCTGGCCTGGCCTGACGGTAGGGTGTTTCGTCATATCGAATTTTGGGTCCGTCAGTGGTTTTTCTGAAAGGCCTTGGTCTGAAACGAACCTGTGCCAAGTTTGAGCCCGATCCGATAACGGGAAGTGGAGGCGCATCGAGCCTAAAGTTTTTGGGGTCCGCGGCGGATTCGCGCGCACTGTCACACAAAAGCGCGCCTCGTGCACGCCGGACGCGATGCAAACCCACGGGAACCATGCAGGTACGTTCACAAGGGTCCATGGTAAGGGTTTATCTACTCGGCAGATCGACCGCGACCACCCCGCCGAAGGGTAGGTGAAGCAAAGTCGAATTTTCAGTCGCGCTACCGTACGTCCAAACGCCCTGAGACAGCGGCTTCTAATTTCACGTGCGTCGACTAGACTGGACCAGGAACCGATCTGAAAAATAGCGGTCACGTTAGCGCACCGCGTTCCTCGCGAAAACGCGACGCGAATGTCGCGACGCGCCAGCGCGCGCCGGCCGAGCGTTTGAATTCTGCCCGGCAGTGACTGTGCCGTGCCGTGCCGCTCGGCTGGCCGAACCAGCGCGCTGCCTGGGAGCGGCCCGGAGCGGCACGGCACGGCACAGTCACTGCCGGGCAGAATTCAAACGCTCGGCCGGCGCGCGCTGGCGCGTCGCGACATTCGCGTCGCGTTTTCGCGAGGAACGCGGTGCGCTAACGTGACCGCTATTTTTCAGATCGGTTCCTGGTCCAGTCTAGTCGACGCACGTGAAATTAGAAGCCGCTGTCTCAGGGCGTTTGGACGTACGGTAGCGCGACTGAAAATTCGACTTTGCTTCACCTACCCTTCGGCGGGGTGGTCGCGGTCGATCTGCCGAGTAGATAAACCCTTACCATGGACCCTTGTGAACGTACCTGCATGGTTCCCGTGGGTTTGCATCGCGTCCGGCGTGCACGAGGCGCGCTTTTGTGTGACAGTGCGCGCGAATCCGCCGCGGACCCCAAAAACTTTAGGCTCGATGCGCCTCCACTTCCCGTTATCGGATCGGGCTCAAACTTGGCACAGGTTCGTTTCAGACCAAGGCCTTTCAGAAAAACCACTGACGGACCCAAAATTCGATATGACGAAACACCCTACCTGACGGGCCTGACCTGGCTTGTGTTCACACTGTTCGGCTCGTTCCCGTCGTCGCTTCGCCTGCTTCGCCGGTGTCTCCGAAGACTGCTTTCGTCGCTCTGTCTCTCACTCACGTCCGTGCGGCGTGCCGCAAGGATGCGAGAGAGGCAGAGCGACGAAAGCAGCCCTCCTCTTTGAGTCCCTTCGGTGCCTGGTCGGGACTTTGACGGGCCGAGGAAATTGGTTTAGCGCTAATTTACATGGGGGAGCTTGGCTCCTCTCTCAAGCGTGTTGTCCCCATTGATGATTCGCTTCTCTCTCTTCTCTGTCTCGCTCTCCCTCGCTCGGGCTGATCGGATCCCCTGCGCCTTGCGGCCCTTGCGGCCCGTTCCACCGTTTCGGCCTTGGACTGGCAGGCCGGGCAGGCCCTGCTGGGTTAAGAAGGCACAGCCGGCAGGGCGGTGCTTCTCGCTTCTCGGAGCCGAGGTGGTGCAGTGTACGTCGCCAGTGCGAGTGCATACTGAGGTGGATGCTGAGCACCGCAGCGTGGAAGTCTTTCTTCTGCTCGATCGCGATACCAGCGAGTGAACTGGCAAGTCCAGATCATTTCAGTGTCATTTCAATCTGAAAATGCACCCCATTTCGCCTGTATTTCGCCCATTATGAGGTGACGTCACAATGTTGACTAGGCCACTTTCGTGCTTGGAAGACAGGCAAGGGGCGCCGGCCTGGCCGGCCTCTCCCTCTAGGGCCGCGTTGCAGCACTGCTCGTCCCTCGTTCGAGCCCGCGGTGGCACCCCTACAGGACACCCCCGCAGGGGCCGCCCGTGGGAGGGGACCTTTTCGAAAGACGCGCCAATACGCGCCACCCTTCGCTCTCCGCGCGTTGGCGAAGCACCGCGGCGCACCGCGACGCACCGCGACGCACGCAATGTTTTGGCCCTGCCGCGCTGCCGCGGCTGCCGCCCTGCCTGAGCGGCGAGGCGGGCGAGGCCTTGGCTCTGCTCCGCTGGAGAGGTCCGCGAACGCCGAGGCGACCACCACGCCGTGCTGGCTGCATTCTGATTCCGAGAGTCGTTTTCGTCGCTCTGTCCCTCTCGCACCCACACGGGGCGTCCTATGTGTACGACAGAGACAGAGCGACGAAAACGACTCTTGGAATAAGTCTGCTGCGCTGGCCGTGCTGGCTGTGCTGCTACTACGCGATCGCTGTGCGGAATTGTGTTCGGGATAGGTCAGGACAGGACTACCTTGATACTTTACTCTGCGGAGAAAAAGGAGCGGGCGGGGGAGGGGCGCGGGCCGCTGGATGGCATGGAGTATGGAGTCGTTCACTCCGCGCCGCCGCCAGCAGCGCCAGCAGACTCACTCCGGACAGCGTCTCGTCGCTCTGTCTCTCTCGCACCCCAACGGGACGAGCCATGAGAGAGAGCGCCGAACGCACCGTTCGGAGTGAGGCTCCTGTATGCCCATAGGCCAGCCCCTGCCACACACTTGAAACTGTACAAAGAACCCAAGGAACGTCCTTTGTACTGTAAAGAAAACGGCGGCTTCGCTCGGAGCATACTAAGAAAACCGTTTGTAAATTTTTGTATTTAATTTAGAATTGGAATCCTGCGCAGGGCGTGAAGAAGTTATGTTTGTTAGCTACGCGAAGGATTTTTCCTTCAAACAAAAACGTTTCTACAGCAGGCAGCGAAGCCCCCATTTTCTTCGCAGCTTAAAAGATCGTTCTTCGTAGGAATTAATCTGTGCAGCCCGCTCCGCTCCAGCGTGTAGTCTATTGAGCCTTTTGCGTCTGCCAGCGTGCCAGTGTGCGGCTTGGCTCGGCTCGGCGCGCCAGGCCCGCACCTCCTCGCACCAGGTCCCGGCTTGGTTCGGTTTCA